CACTGTTTTAAGATTATGTGCTCATATTTCACGTTCTAAGTTTATGTGCTCATATTTCACATTTTAAGTTTATGTGCTCATATTTTACATTCTGTCATTAACCTCTTGACTACTGGACATCACTTTTACTTATTATTTGACTAATGTCAGACAATTTTATTTAGCACAAAGAGACCCCTCATACCCAAAGGGTTATGAAAGGTAATTTGAAATAAAAATATTTTGGGGGAGGATTTTCTGGCAAGTTTTTTTAGAGCTGCAGCCCTGTACCCAAAGCAGTACAGGCGCTCCTCTATTTACGAACGAGTTAAGTTCCTGAGGCTTGTTTGTAAGTCCAACTTTACTCTTGTAGATACCAAACATATTGTAAAAAATGAAAAGATTATGGATATTTAGTACAGCTATACCCTTTAATACAGCCTTAAAACCTGGCTCACTCTTCTCCTCTTAGGTAATGTTTGTTCTATCTGTAATTTTCTTAAAAATAATCCAGTCTCATCCACATTACATAACTGTTCTGGCAGGTAATCCCCCTCAGTAATGATGTTTGTATCTCTGAAAGCTTGTTAGTTAAACGTTCTTAAGTAGAGGAGCATCTGTATAGTATGTACAGGTAGGCCAATTTGTGCTAATTGGTATCCCACCATGGACGAATTTCCAAAAGGTACACATTTGGAGATTAAGCATTAAAAGCATAGGAAAATTTGCTTATCATATGCTAAAAAAATAAATTTAATTGTACAGTACAGTACTCTAAAACATAAAACTTTATTGTTTCAAACTTACAAATACTGTATAGGTTTCACTGTTCAGCTAAGATGCTTGTATGATCTTAAGTGATTAATTTCACTAGATTCACCTTTAAAGGTAGCATTTAACTGTACACTTTAACATCAAAACTAAAAATTGTATACACATAAACAGCAATAACGAAAGCATATAGTACAGTAAATAGCAGTGATGAAAGCATAAAAAAATACAAGTTTCGTGTATACTGCATCCCAATCTCAGGGACATTAGCTGCCTGCTCGACCATTGCTGAAGGAGACAAATAGGCAGCTGGGATGCTGTTAATTTCTAAGGATATTATTATTGCATAAATAAAATTTAATAAAGTCACTAAAATTAAAATACAGTACACCTGTATTTTTATTACAGGTACATCCTATGTTGTGATGATTCACATTATGGCAGATCATATAAAAATGTTTTAAGAATAAGATATTTAACTGCGAGGAATAAGATAAAATAATATACAGTATACCAGTAATACCAAGGAATAGATAAAGATAATACCAATAAATAAAATAAAATAAAATAAAAAACTGTATAGTATTGCCATTTGGCAGCTGAACAATGAAATATTTGTCAACATTTCACTAGTAATCTCCCCATTAGGCAGAATCCCCGATCCCCAGAACTTTCCAATAGCCAGAATTGAAATTGTGCCAGAAAAATTCCGGGAAACTTTCTCCACTTCGGGTAAGCAAACGAGTTTCTGACAGTTGTAAAAAGTACCGGACTTTGTTACTTGAGTAAAAGTATTGTTACATTGGCAAAATGATACTCAAGTTGAAGTAAAATATCCAAAGTTCAATGTACTCAAGTAGAAGTTAAAAAGTACCTCATTCATAAAGTACTCAAGTACTGAACGTAAATGAGTAAATTATAAAAACCTAGTTAACTAAAGATAAAAATAAGAGACACCTAGCATTACACATGTTTATTTGCAAATCATTCTATTGAGATACTGTAATCAATTACTGATTCTCGAAATTATGGCCCAGTATGACCTACCAAAAGAGAATACGTTCAGCTGCTCTTCCAACAATCTATCACAGGGATAGTGAATGGACTGAAAATATATCCATCCAACACTATGCTCACTTTCTTCCTTATCTACCTACACAAGTATCATCGACGTGGATTTATGGTCCACAGACATAATGTTGTCTCTGCTGCATTAGGTTAGGATACAGACCGATCTGGCAAGGAACTGAGGCGGAGGATGACCTGCCCTTCTCTTCCTGTAAATTCTGTAACTGTACTAATGCTAACATCGTTCTACCACAGGGAGAGTCACCACCAACTTATTAGTAATAACTTAGATTTAATTCTTGTATGCTACCCATGTTTTGGTGGGTGCTAACTTCCATTGTCCTTAAATTTTATTAATATTGTCTCCATATCACAAGTCATAGCGTGTCCTGCAAGACACGAGTATCAATGTACAGTATTAGTATCTGACCGCATGGTCTTGTGACTAGGCTTGTCATCCCTTGGGTACAATAAATTAATTAAATAATCAATAATAAGCCCAGCCTGACCAAACAGACGCTCACAAGCAGCAGATGCAGGTGTTAAGCTTGAGAGTTAAGTCACATCATGCAGGGAAAGACCTCAGTAGCTCCATTCCATCACCTGGACATGCCAAGTAGCTATCAAGCTCGGGGTGTGGCTTTGGTGACATCATGTTTCAATACTAATGGATGAGTGGCTGAATTTTTTGCACTATGCAACATTTGGCGGGTGCTGGAGGGGTACAGGTAGATGCAAAGCAACTGATGTCTAACGAGAAGATCAAGCCCCTGAAGGAAAGGTGGGGGAGAAGAGAGGGGATTCAATGGGAGAGGGGGGATAAGAGGGTAGGCTAGGTGAGGTGAGTGGTGAAGGTGCGAATGGAAACAAGAAGATCAAAGGAAAAGTCCACTGTCATGGCCACTACCACCTAACCTAACCTGACCTGACGTCACCTCACCTCATGAGACCTCTAAGTATGTGACCCCATAGTGTCTCCCCACACCCAAACCGTATCCTTCATGGCTCCACCCACAGAACTCTTTTACTATGGTTAATAATTAATTAATTTAAAAATATATTATTAGTTTGCATGTAACAAGGAACAACTTTTCTTTTTTTAATTGTATTGGAGTACAGTCAGTTCTGCTATAACGCGATAGTTGTGTTCTTGTAAAACATCGTGTTATAGAAATTCGCGTAATAGAAATAACAGGGCTTATGGAGAAAATAGGGTTAGGTGCAGATTACTACTCAAAATCGAAAACAATTTAGTAGTTAGCCTAACACAAAGGAAAGCACAGTCTAAATAAATGTTACATTCATATCTAATAATGAACTCATACAGTAAATGTAACAATTTACCTTGAAAAAATATGAATATAACTTGATGGGGGAGAAGGGTGATTTTGAGGTTGATAACATCGAGCTTCTCTTCAAGTGTTATAGCCTTTCTTTTACGATCATCACCGGGAATGAGATCACCAGAACGCTTCTTGGAGATATTCTTCTTTACCATGTTCACAGTTAATACCACAAAATTGGAGAAATAGTAAGCAAAAATCATGTTACAGCAAACAAGCATTCGCGTTTTACAAATATCGTTCCTCTATTCATAAATCGCGTTAGAGCCAATTCGCGTTGTCAAAACACGCATTATAGCAGAACTCACTGTACTAGTATTAGAAAACCATAATTAAGTAAAAGCACTAAAAAATTTGAGTACTTTTTAAAAAGTAAATACAGTACCCAAATATTTTACTTTACAATTCTGGTTTCTGAGGATGAAATTCAGGTACATTTTCTTGAAAAAAAAAATTAAAATCTGAGAAAATCTCTCCAAACCTGTCTGTGCTGGGCCTGGGAATAAATTTTCCAGGAGTTACAAGAGAATGCATCATGCTCGAACGCATCCCCACTTGCAAGGCACAAGGGTGGCCTAGCTGCTTGGATAGCTTAGTTCATATTCTGCTGCCACTGTATTGTATGAGGTTGTTCCCTCTCTAGCTGCTGTTTTTGCAAACAATTTGTGTTGTGCAGTACAATACTATACATAACTGTACCAGGCCACAATCAGCCAAGAATACAGTGTTAAAGCAGTGTTAAGACATAAAAAGTGATTACAATTATGTGTACTGTACTGTACTTTCAGTGAGTGGGAAACACTGGAGAGCCTGTACTTGAGTATAGTATATACGGTAATTTGTTTAAATTAAAAAAAAAAATTAAAAATTCTCAAACGAGCTTGGACAACTGATACACACAGTACAGTCTCTCCTTGACTTACGACAACCCGGACATACGACGGCCATGGTCGTATAAAATATTTTTCACATTACGTATTTTCGAGTCCCGACGTTAGTGATCGAGCTGTGTACTGACAAAATTTTTGTTTGTAATTTCCTTTAAAATGGCTGGCAAGCGTAAAAGTGAGAGTTCTCGTGGTGCTGAGAAGAAAAGGAGACACCCATTTTAGAATTTATATGTATTATTTTCGCCTTTTCAACTTACGACCAATTCGACTTACGACCTGGTCGTCGGGACGCTCATGAAAATGCACGGGTTTGCAGAAAAACGGACTTCTGAGACACAAATTTGTAAGGTCAGTCTGTACTTTCAAAAAGATCTGCCAAACACATCCTTAAGTTTCCTGCATGTGTCAATAGATTACATCACAGCCCTCTACAGTGCTGCTTCATGAATGATGGCTATGCTTCCTACACATTACACAGTTTTATTTTAATCGCCTTATCATTTCGACATTTGCTATTCTTCACAGTGACTTTCAACCACTAATCAGCTATCTAGTCGTTCAGGCCTTTAGTGAAAGACCATTATACTGTATATATGGTTTCAATATTCTATTTTTTTGAATAGCATTAAGTATTTCTAATATGTTTCATTAAATATATTTTTAAAGGTTAATATCTAATAAAGGTGAGTTAAAATTTGTTAAAAATTGTTTTGAAATATATCGGGATCTACTTATCCATACCACCACTCTTTTTAATTAATAAAAATATTGTTTTTGGCTCAGTTGATGGTGACTTATCCTACTAAAAGTATTTGGAGATGGAGACTGGCTTGAGAACTGAACAGTGGTGAAGAGGTTAATGTACTGTAGTATGCCTACAGGTTCCAATGACAGATTTTATGTAGAATTTGATGAGAATAAAAGAAAACAGCAAAGAAAGAAAACTAACCTTTCAAGTGCATCAATCCCATTGTTTCCACTTCTGCCAGTGCTCGCTGAAAGAGTTGGGTCCATGGCAATGTCATGGGCAGAGTTGCCTTTTGTGGAAAAATTTTTGGTAGCTGCAAGAACTTCTTCCTCTTCCTCTTCAGCTTCATCACCAAAGGACAGAAGTTTAAAATTTCTGTAAAATTTTTTAAAAATTATCATAAAGCTTTTTTTCTTTGTTTACTACTCCACTTCCTAGCAATGTGTAAAATCTTTCAGATCTATTTTGGTGTAACCCTGATTTTTTTAAAGAAAAAAGTATTCACTGAGAAGTTTAAAAAGACATACCGGGTATGCATGAAAGTACCGTTCACCCAAATCCTCAGAAAAAAATTAAAAGTACAGTACTGTACAGTATATTAAATTGTACTGAGCATGTGAATTATGTATGGAATAACTAAGTGGTGGAGAAATTTGTGAAAGTATCAGAAGATAACACTGGGAAAGGGAGACTGTGTAAGACTGAGTTCGAGAGTGAAGTCAAAAGAATTTTATATCTGCATTATGTGAGAGAAAAAGCCATTAAGACCTTACACAGTGGTGTATAATTCTGTATTTTTTTTTTTTTTTTTTACGGGTATTAGCCCACCCGGACACAGGTCACCGACCCACATCAAATATGGAAGAAAGAATGGAGAAGAAAGTCACACTGACAATCAACTTGGCAGGCAAAGTGAAGTTACGAAGCATCTGAGTATTGTAGTATTGTAGTCTAATTCCACTTTATGAAGCATGGAAATTGGGCACAACAATGACATCTAAGTGAGTTTAATGTAAAACTATGCATATAAATGTGAAAAGAAACTATGCAAACATATATCCTGAGCAATTAAATGGTTCTAATCAAAACCATATAATTCTCAAATACAATCTTTCCTCAACTTACGACAACCTGGACATACGACGGCCGTGGTATTATTTTCGCCTTTTCGACTGACGACCTGGTCTTCGGGACGGAATCCCATCATAAGTCGAGGAGAGACTGTATACAAATATACTTAATATATATATATATATGGATGCTATCTTCCCTGTAAAGTCTCAATGATCAAGAACATACTATCATTCTAGGACATACAGTAATACTCCGATTTACGCGGTCAATTGAACCCGCGGAGGTCCGTGTAAAACGAGAAACGCATAAATGGAATAACAGAACATATGGGATTAATTGAAATAGAGACTGGGCCGACTCCCAAACTCCACTTTTTCCAACACAATACCTATGTTGTAGTAAAAATAACATCTTAATTTTATGATTGTATGCACACACAATTAATATACAAGAGAAATACAGTCGCCACTGGCTCCTCCCTCTCTGAGAAATGTTTGGGTGAAAACACTAGATTTTAAGGTATACTGTAGTAATAAATAATACCTCTGACTAAAGTTAGGATAATATAATTGACATTGCTGGATTCCTTGCAAGACCAGGAATATTTTGAATATACACGGCATATATTTTGCACAAAAGATAACATATCTGCTCTGTGTAAACAAAATTCTTGCACTAGATCTAAAATTTGTATGTCTAATGCAAAATCCATGATGTTTACATTCAAAATAATCATCATATTGTAAGAATTCCAGCAATGTAAATTATATTCTGGCCGGGTAATTTGTATGAATTTTATGAGCTAAATAAAAAAATTATACTTCACCCACGTATATGAGTAGATGCACCGGGTAAAGTAGGAATTCCAGTTCTGGCAGGGTACAGCGTAAATGTAGAAACGCGTAAACCAGAACCGCGTAAAGCGGGGTATTACTGTAGTTCATTCCCTATAATGTCACAATGATAAAAGAATATCATCATTTTCTAAACATACTTGGTTCCTAATGATGTCACAATGATCAAAGTATACCATCATCCTCTAAACGTACTTGGTGCCCTTCTTCTTCTCTTTTCGTTCTTCTTTTGATATTTCATTCTGAATCTTTAACCGAGGAACAATGTCAGGGAATGGGTTGTTCAATACCTCTGTCTTGATAATCTTGTGGGGATATTCTGGCCTGTCATCCTGGAAATTAAATTCATTTAAAGATAAACAGGGTTAAATATGCAAGCTATAAAATCTATATGATGATTATATAATTATCCTGAACTGTTTGTTAAGCTACAAATGTAATCTATCTGAAAAGAAAAAAATATATAGAGAGAGATAAAAGTTCAGCCCCAGAGTCTACCATCTGATATAACTATGAAAAAATGCAAGAAAGGCATAAAACTTTCACTATTACAGTACCTGATACACCAAACTAATAAAATAAAAAAAAATTAGAAATCCAAAATTTTTTAATTTATTTTCACAAAACATTGCATGTATCAGATAGCAGATTCTGACTCTCATCCATTCATACATAAAATTCATAATTGTCCTCCTGATACTAATTATCTGATATCATATGTGTAAGTACAATAATATTTATGACCTGTCATCCCAAAAATACAATTTGAATGCTGCACATAACACTACAGAATGTCATCACAGAATTACACCATCTCCTAAATGTATAAAACATATTCAAATCATAAAATTAACTTTTACAGAACTGTGTTGTACTGCAATGTACTGTAATAATATTAAGTGAACAAACATATTGACTAATAATGAACTTCTAAACAACATTGATTTTATACATGAACACCCTCTTACATACCTGTATTTGGCTGAAGATGAACAAAGCACAAGGATATAACTAAAGGTCATGATAAGGAATTAAAGATGATGATAGAATATACATGCAGACCCAATAATAAAAGTCCATTTAATAACCAAGATGTGGGGGGAAAACTTGTGTATAATGCCCAACAGAGCCTTAAGAACTGCACCCAAGAAACCTTAAATTAAGACCACTGGGACTTGATCTGAAGGTTAGCCATCTCCCAACTGTCACATACCGGGTATTAGAAACTTCTAGTCAACAGTTTAAAGATTGCTCAGAACTTCCAAGAAATACTTACTGAAATATATAAGTAAGATGTTAATTAGAAATTTCTCTCATGAACAAAGTAGAATTCAAGTACAGTGCCAGAAAAGTAAAAGTCAGTAATTCTTAGATATCAGATATGGGGAAGGTAGTTAAACATGCATCAGCAGTTATTTGCTAATAATTAGCCCTTTTGTGCTTTTTTTATGCAAATTACGTCACTAAGCGCACCTGCTAAGCCTTATCTCACACTGACCGCACCCCTCCCGTAAGCAGAAACGTGGGAACAGTGGACCAGCCCTATCAATCACCTTAGCTCCTCAAACTAGCCTCTTGGGCTGGCAGATGCATCTCTAAGGGTGCAATTTGGGTCTGGATCACTCTATCCAATGTTTACTAAAATGGAAAACCATTCCTGTTACCGATTCAACCTGCGTCAAAAGACTGCAAGGGAGTGAGATTATTAACACCGCTCTTTGCGTTAAAAGACCATGAGGGGTTGAGATTTCGTACCATGGCCAAGAGTACCAGAGGGTTAATCTTAACATTAATATGTACTGTATACTGTACAAATTACATTAACTGAATAAGCTGGGCCATGACAAAATGCACAAGAATTTAAAGGAGTATGTAAATGACTATAGACTCAAGAATAAGAGCACTGTGGTGGGCCCATATAATGGCACTCATAAAGTACATAAGTAATAGTCTCTGACCTGGTATCACCAATAAATGGGACACAATGATATCGGTTCACTGGCAAGAGCACATGACACATGACTCACATATGAGCCCAAAAGGTATCACCAAAGTAGCAAATAAGGCCAAAAAGGTCTCTCGGCCAATAGAGGTAAAATACACAAACATCACTTAGCCATAATGTAGCAGACACTAGGCAGAGACGGATGCTGGAGAAAGTTCAAGGAGTTCACACACACAGGCTGTTGAAGGAGGAAGGAGGAGAGCTGAGAGTAACTCAGATGGGAATGGCTTATGATGTCACATTTCATTTCCACAACTTTGATTGGCTGATAGATGATGCCTTCTGTTGCTATAGCCAGCAGTGCGGGGGGAGAAGGAGAAGAGATGTCAGGATTGGCGCCGGTGTGTCGGCAATGATTTTCCCACCAACATGTGATGACGAGACATGACACAACTGGCAATTATTACCCCAAGAGAGAGATAAGAAGTCTCAGCTACCACTGATGGCTGGGAAGTCAAAAGTTGTGAAGCCACAGAAACAGGTCATTGTACAGGTTCCCAACATCAATTTCATTTTCAGCCAATCTCAGAGGGCATTCCAAGGAGAGAGGTGGGATCTGAATTCCAAGTTGCTCCTCACAGGTTTGGTTTTAAAACTAGCTTTCAAGAGCAAGCCTTCATTTATATCCATAATACCAGTTTAGACCAACTATGTACCAAGAGACAACCTATCAAAAGGAAGGATTTGGAAAGTGAATCAAAATTGTGCATAATTTGCACTGTAACAGGTACAGGTGGTCTTCCTTATTCGTGTCCCTTGTATTAGTCTTCTTCTTTTTTTTCATCATTAGCAAAGGTCATATAAATGAAATAATACCATACAATAAATAAAAAAAATCACTTATTTTATAAGAAGTAAATAAATAAACATGAGCTGCTTTTACAAAATTTAATGTTAAGCCTACCAACATATAAATGCTGTCCAAAAATGCTATCAATCTGTAAGAAAATTATGTAAACAATAAATATGGCACAACTTTGTGGCTAGCAAACAATATGTACAGAGTATTGAGTGAACCAAGATTTAAGTGTTAATTCAACCCTAGCAAAATGAGTGCTAACCAACCAGCAAGTGGCACTGTAGTTACTCATGCCCCAAGAAGAGATAAAGTAAGAGTGGTAGTACAGATGTGAAAATGGACGTGTTAAGATGTTTTGAAAAGGAATACCAAGGCATTTTAAGTGGAGTACAGTACCATTTATCTTAGAAAAGGTCTTAAAAAGGACTAACTTCCCTACACAACACAAACCTCCAATGTTGTTCTGGATATTATGAGAACTGCCATTTAGTCAATGATGCAAATTTAAGTCCTCTGGAGTTAGAGACACACATGTTCCTCAACATAGCAGTCCATACAATAACTGATCAGAAAGAGTCAAATAACACCAATGGAAAAAAGAGTGATATCTATTAGTGTTGACACCAGGGAGTTCTATGGTCAGGTAAAAACCATATCAGATCTAGCTCAACTTACACTAAGCAAGTTAAAATTTGTATACATGGACCCCAATATTCATGGACTGATATACAAAAAAATTTAAACATCCTGGTGTTTGAAACTACTGCATATTAGCCTAATAAAAATTGCAACCACTATGGCGAATGAAACGATTTTAACTAAAGGATAGTGAATTATATTTTATTTTTAAAAGAAATTTATCCATTTACTTCAAGCTGACATGCAGTGTAAAAAATTAAAACATTCTGGTGTTGGAAATTATAATAGCTTAATCCAACTAGTGACCCATATGGTGAATGAAGAGCAGTATTTCACCTTCTAGAGATAACAATCAAGAATGATTTTCTTAATACCTGTTCCAATACTGGGCATACAATCTCTCAGTTGCTTCAGCACTGAGAATTTATCTTCTCTCCAGTATTCCAGGAGCATTTCTTATCTTCCTAGAGGGGAAGTTTTATATAAAAGTCAACATCTTCTGCAGGCTCAACAATGGACATTGACCTGATCTAATGATTTGCTTCCACCATACCCTACCTCACCTGATGTTCCTGTAGCTTTACATGCTAGTCCCAGGAGGCAAGCCCTGAAGGTACTGTCTTCTTCTCTAATGTCATTGCTACTTTTCCTTATATGTTTTGCCATCTTGAGCTGTTTACACAGATTGCTCACTATTTCTTCCAGGAGCGATATATTTTTGGTAATAATGCATTCTTAATAATCTAATCATATTACTGTGCACACCTGTACATGAGCAGTAGGTTGTAGCTCATAATGAAGAGCAAACTTAGCAGTCTATTTGATAAAAAAAGTTCAGTTTACTTTCACTTATAATTTTCACCACTAAATCTTTTTTCTTTTGTAAAAAGGATATGCAAGTGTGTGTGTGTGTGTGTGTGTGTGTGTGCACATACATGTGTGTGTGTGTGTGTGTGAATAAGTAACATACTATTTTGTGATGCTTTCAGCAAAGAATGAAGAAATGCTGCCTCAAGTACAGTACAGGTTGTACCTCTCTAGTCCGGCAACCTCGGGACCTGACAGGTGCCGGACCATGGAAATTCACCTTTTTCCTGGATAGATAGTGACTTGTGCTTATGCTTGGAAGCACTAGCACCACTTTCTCTGCATCATGGTCTCTTTGAAGACATATTGAAGGGTTAAATGTCGTATAGTAGCTTCTCAAATTTTGCGAGTTTTTAATTCAACGTATTTTATTGGAACACACACAAAAAATAAATAAATAAAAATTTTGACGGCGGAAACTTTAATTTCGACGGGTTTGAACGGCCCGCCAACGTGCAGACGACGTGCATAATCGTGTAAACAGCGTCATTTCTCTTATGTACAAAAGATTCATTATTGTTTATTATTGAATGTCTTTTTTATTGAATTAATGTTTATGTGTGCAAAATGAGCAATACAATTCATTAATAATACGTAGAATATTAAAACACACGAGGAAATGACACAGCATTGTTTTCGTTGATTACAAAACCAGTGACTCACTGGTTCTACATATAAAACTGAAGAAAACAAGACCTTGGTTGTAGCTGCAGTAAAATTAATATGGTTGTTTTAAGTAATGTTATTTAATGTTAATAAATGGAACAATAGAAGTAGCTAACGATAATGGTAAAGAAAAAAGAGAGATCGCGTATGTAAGTGCGCACACGTGAAAACATATCGTCATTACTTTACATAAGAATATGAAAGCAACACTTATTTACTGTTCATATATATTTTAATTAATGTTTCTGAATTTGTTTTTATTGAATTAATGTTTGTGTGTGCAAAATTAACAATACAATTTATTAATAATACATGGAATATTAAAACACACGAGGAGACGAGATGACTGCCGGCATTGTTTATGCTAAAGCTTACAAAACCAGTGACTGATTGGTTCTACATATAAAACTGAAGAAAATAAGACCCTGATTGTAGCTGTAATAAAATTAATGTAAAAAAAATTAATATGGTTGTTTGAAGTACCTGTAATGTTATTTAATGTTAATAAATGGAACAATATAAGTAGCTAACCATTAATGGTAAAAAAAAAAAAAGTGAGTGCAGGTATGTAAGTGAGCACATGTGAAAACATCATTACTCTACATAGAATATGAAAGCAACACTTATTTACTTCTCATATATATATTGAAGGGTTAAATGTTGTACTCTGTATAGACAAGAAGCAGAGGGAGGGAGGGAGCAGCCGAACTGCCGGATGTAAACAAACCTTAATTTCTCGCGGCTTTGGGTTTTTTTTTTAGGGGATTAGCCCACCCGGGCATAGGTCACCGACCCACATTGGGGCCTGAGGGGCAAAAATTCAATACTCCTGTAATAATAATAATAGTTCAGATAAGTAAAAAAAAAAAAAAAAAAAAAAAAAAAAAAAAAAAAAAAAAAAAAAAAAAAAAAAAAAGGGCTGCCTATCTACCTATTGGACAAACTAAAATCGTTCCGGACCACAGAATGCCGGACTAGAGAGGTACAACCTGTAGTAGTAAAGATCAAGTGTTGGGTAAAATTAAGCATTTTTAATTATCCAATAAAGAGTCAGATATTTTTCTTATACTGTACAGGTGTCTGGGTTATCTGGTATCCGGCTGGATAGTAAAATCAGATATCCTGTGCACCCCTAGTTTGAACTACCCAGAAAATATGTCATATGTGATTGGAGATAAATGCTGTACAGTATATGAAAACATGGAATTGAAAAGGGTAAAGAATATACTGTATTGTAATGCATTTGAGCTAAAAATAAATGCTTGCATCAGTGCCAAGATTTCCCATGACGTCACATCCTCCACACAGCTGTGTTGTTAGATAGAGTGAACTTCTTAGTACAGTACTGTACTGTACAGTACATGATATTGGTACTGCCATACTCCTTATTTTTTATTTTTTTTTGTGAAAAATCTAACCATGACAATCATTTTTTCCATATATCAGGCAACCTCTGACAGGTTAATACCCAATAACTTAAATTTCCAATCTACTTCATATGTGGATCAAGTGAAACATCATCATTATCTTTGGGACAAGTATTCTCTGGTAGGTCCTGGTGTCTGGACCCAACAAGAAGAATGTTACTCAGAGCCTCAGACCAACATTTTCATAACCTATGATTATTGAGCTAGCACAGATTTATACAACCATACTAGTGGTCAAATAAAATTAATTTGTAAAATAACTTCAGTTAACAGTTTTGTCTTCTAATCCTGTTCTCCTTTCTTTAAATTTTTCTCTCATTAACAGTTTTGTCTTCTAATCCTGTTCTCCTTTCTTTAAATTTTTCTCTCATTGATACGATGCAATGAACCTGACACAAGGGTTGACTGATGGTCCCAGAACACTCCCACTCCTATGCCTATGTAATTGTCATCAATGTTTTATGGCCATTGTCCACACTTGCCTAGATTAAATATAATTGCCTGATGCTCCATGCTGTGTACTCTCTTGCAGCCTCTCCCATCAGGTACTATACAGTACTGTATAGTACTGCAGTATATCTTACAGAGTATTGTAATGCATATAACTCTGCATTTTGAACTTACCTTTCCTATAACTCCTTCTTCAAACCGAGGCAAGTTGTACAGTGTATTTCCTGTAACCTTTCCAAAAATGGTGTGCTTGTTTTGTAGTTCTGGGGTTTGACCAAGAGTGAAGAAGAACTGTGAGCCATTATCATGAGGACCAGCATTAGCCATGGCAACCAGTCCCCTACGAACAAATCGTAGACGTGTGTGGAACTCATCCTGTCATGGAAGAAATTTTTTTCTTCTTGATGAACTGAATGATATTAAAGTGATGCATCTAAGCTGAAAACAAGCAATTAATGTTACTGTACTTCTCACCCACATAGTTATCATCCCATTACACAAGGATGATGGTTTATTGGTCTGAAAAAGTAACCAATGAATGAGAATTCAGTTTGACAAGCTTAGTGTTTTGGGGTCTGATAGTTCAATGAGCCAGCTTTTTTCAATTTAGTGAACATTTTCATTCATGGAGTGGGTTAGTCATGCTTTATCACTGGCTGAGTCGCCAGCTGAGGTAGTGCACTCGTAAGCTTGTTTTCTGTACTCTGAGGTGAAGTCACTTGCAGATTGACCCAGCGAACTTAAACAACATAGAAGCATTTGTATTGTGAGTGCAGCACAGGCTAGTATCGTATCACCTGTACACTTGCTAATTCTAACCAGGTTTGCTCCCATTAAAATGTCTCAAAACAAATGCAAAAACAATGGTACTGAGTGCAGTAGTGCAAACAGAAAACCAAGTGAATACTATCAAATATCATTTTGCCTCTAAGATGATCATAGCTGACTTGACCCTTCACTTCTTCATCCCATCTGTTCATCTTTCTACACCTCAGCTCCAACTTAATTAGCATATACGAATAAAGAATAAGAAAATTAAATAATACTGTTGCATTTTGTTTTCTCAATAAAACTTAAAAGTAAATACCTAAAGAAAAATTTGGCAATCTTGGTGTTATGTGACCTGACTGGCACTTCTTGATAGTGGGTGACCGACATTGTTTACATGGCTACTGCTCACAGGACGATTGTAATTACAGCATTTGTTCAGTATTTACTTAGGAAATATTAAAAAAATATTCTGATTTAACTACTGTACTTTAATCTTAAACAGCTTTTGTTCTCTTAATTACAGTAGCCTCAGGTTATTTCACAACTACCTAAATTACTACCATTTTCCTATATACATCAGTTACTGACATAAAGTTTAGCCTATTATAGGTAATAAAACAATTGACTAATGAACAAAGCTTCATTAAGACATCATTTCCTGATAATCAAAGGGTTTTTTATTATCTATACAGTACTCATGTAGTATATAGACTGTGTGGATGCCATCTTGAACATGTGCACAACTCCAAGATATTATGTAAGAACTCCAATGTTTACATCTGGGACAGATTTAGTGTCCTTCATGGAAAAATCCAAAAAAATTGTAATACGAAAAACTTATTTCTTCATATTTTTTGCCTTTTCATATAGTATTGGGGAAAGTTTTCAACTAGCAGTAATCGTACCTTGGATAAACCTCATTGGCTACAATACTGCCAATGGTAGGAATGCATTTACCATCTATAGAAAAATTTCCTCAAGTTGCTGGTTTAACTTGCATAACCATCATCCAGTATTACCACCAATTCTGTGGGCACTGAGTCAGTCAGAGGCAGCATGGCTGTGATGTATTGTGCTATTTTCATTTTGTACAGTTCTCTTATTTTTCCATGTTGTACTTGTACCAGAACACTACATTTATTGTTGTCTTTAGTAAATAAATAAACCTTCTCAGATTTATTTGGGTCCACATCTTATGTAAGCTCCAACCAAATGCACTGGGAGTACAATGCAGTATAGTACAGCATACTACAAATAAAATTAATTCTGTAGTTGTTTGTTTCTTATCAATTTCCCCAGTTTGAAGACATAGCTGAAATTTGGTACAGAGGTGCAAGAGGCCTAGGGTATGATTGTGCACCATCCATGTGGAGCGGGTCATATCACATTAGCCGTCAGTCAACACTTTTGATGACAGAGCTGAAATTTGGTAGGGAGGTGTGGGTGGCCACCTAGGGGATAGTCATGCACTATCTCATGTCCCTCCACCAATAACCTGGGTGGAGCAGGTTAACTCATCCAGTAACACATTTTTAATGTCCTTTATCATAAAAAAATATAATTTTTATTTACAAAATATTTTGATACATTTATCATGAGTAGAGTATCATTTTTTAGTGTTATTAATGCTACCCAAGGACGCCCTCAAATGTCACTCGGAGGTAGAAATAATGCTGTTGCAAATGCTGTTATAGAGCTGTTTCTTACAGCACTCTGACTTCTAGGAATGTATCTAGAGCACTATAAGAGATATGTCTGTATTACTGACAATTTATTTATGCTTTTTTCAATTTCATGACTTTTTCTTTCCTCCAAATTTTATAACTTTAAAAATATCCATAGTACAGTATATTTTCCTTAATTAAGAAATACTATATGATACTTACTCTGAATGGTTTGCCATAGATGGATTCTCCACCTTCTCCACTTCCAGATGGATCACCACCTTGAGCAATGAAGCCTGGAATGACTCGGTGAAAGACTGTGCCATTGTAGTAATTTTCCATACACAGTTGCACAAAATTTCGGCAAGCTTTGGGTGCCTCTCTGGACCATAATTCAATGTCAAAGTCCCCAGCACTAGTAACAAGCAAAACCTGAAATTAAAAAAATAAATAAATAAATAAACAAACAAATAAGCATTAGCACAGGACCTTGAAAAACCCTCAAATCTCCTCATCAGTAAAATTTCAGTTTAGCTCCACTATTTCATTTCTTAATAAACTTTGATTGCATATACAATTAGGCCTAGAGTGAATTATCCATGATCCAACAATGGACGACCTAAAATGGAACAGTTTTATGAAGGAATGCCAGAATTGATTTATGACTGGATGCTCTTGCATGACTTAGCTGCTGGGGGTATATTAAGGTACTAGATGTATGTTCACAGATCTTAGAATGTGGTGGTAACACAGGACTGTACAGTACTGACAATGCTGTACAGACTTTGACTTTGTCAAAGCCTTTTGACAGTCGACCTCATGAATGGCAGAAAATTAAATTGAAAGGATACAGACTACCATAAATACTATTGTATGATAAACGTAACTAAAACAAAAACATACACAATAGAGATTGCTTCCTAAACCTACTTACAGAAAACACAACAGTAAAGGTTCTCCCCTGTTACTGTAGTGAAGTGTATGGGTGTTGTATCTCACTCTTCCACTTGTGCTTAAATAATCTTGACTAAGAGGCATAACCTAAACTAAACTCAGTGTTATGCATACAATATACTGTACTGTATTTACTTATCAGATAATCAAAACACATTACAATGAAGTTGAACACTCTAGTAACTGAATGATACACAGTATGTATTGAACATTTTAATAATTCCAAGGCTAGCACAAGGTTAATTTTCATAACCACAATCACTATCAGGGTCCTCACTCCCACCATAACCAGGGTCATGTACCACATTTGCTGTTCATAGTATCGTAAGGTTATGTTCATCTCATTTATTCATATCAGATTATACACTTCACTCAATACAAAATCTGTAAATGGAAAACTATTTTGTATAAAATTAATGTAAGAACACAGGTGTTCATGTAATTAATTAGTCACTTTCTAATGACTCTTCACTAATATGTCTCATCATAATGGGACCTCTGTGTGTGAACAGGGATCACTACCACTGCACCACAAGGACAACAAAAGCAATACTGCACCTGTACTAGGCTTTGTTTTATTTCACCAAAGCCTGTTCATTCATCTTATTTTTAAGCAATGTGAAATAAAACAAACCCTAGTAGCTACTCCTCGACTTACGACATACTCGACCTACGACCACCCACGCATACGACCTGCCTCAGTCAGTATGACCACCCGCACATACGACCGCCGCAGTCGGTACCAAAAATTTTTCAAATGACGCGCGTATTTTCTAGACCGAAACGTTTCCGTCCCGTAAAAGAGCGTCGCGTGGGCTGGGTCGCCTCGTGACTACAGCAACCACGCCGTAGAGCGCTTAGTTGGTGTTTGGCTGTCGTTGTTGTTAATAGTGATCGCTCTGTGTACTGACAATATTTTCGTATCTAATTCACTTTACAATGACTGGCAAGTGTAGAAGTGAGAGTGCTGGTGGTGCTCAGAAGAAAAGGAGACAGTCAATTACTTTTGAGACGAAAATGAAGATAATAATGCAGTATGAAAATGGAAAAACGGTAGCAACCATTTCATTCGACCTAGGCTTCTCGCACTCGACCATATTGACAATTTTGAAGGACAAGGAACCTATAAAGGGAACAATAATAACGAAAAAAGACAAGGTCCTATTCATGAGATGGAAAAATTACTTGTGACATGGATGGAAGATCAGATACATAAGCGTGTACCCTTAAGCCTTCTAACCCTACAGGCTAAGGCATGAAGCCTTTTCAAAAGCCTGAAGGAGTAGGCAAGAGATGAGTGTGACCAAACCTTCACAGCAAGTCATGGGTGGTTCCAAAGGTTTAAGAACCGCTACAGTTTGCATAGTGTAAAGGTGGGTGGAGAGGCAGCAAGTGCTGATGTGGGTGCTGCCGAAGTTTTTAAGGAGGAGCTAGATCATGTCATCGTGGAGGGAAATTATTTGCCTGAGCAAATATTTAATGTGGATGAAACAGGCTTATTATGGAAGCGCATGTCAAAACGGACATACATCCACAAAGAGGCGAAAACAATGCCGGGATTCAAGGCATTCAAGGACCGAATCACACTTCTGTTGGGAGGGAATGTAGCTGGTTTCAAGATAAAGCCCTTCATGATATATCATTCAGAGAACTCAAGGGCTTTTAAACATGTCAGCAAGCACACACTTCCAGTGTTTTATTAAAGTACAGTGACCCCTCGTTTAACGAACGCCTCGGTTAACGAAATTTCGGTTAACGAACTGCCTTCCATAAGGATCTTCAATTCGGTTAACGAACAAAAATTCGGTTAACGAATTTCTTACGAACCGACCTCAACATGTTTTCGCTTGCACTGGCCGGGCAACCAGCTTTAGTATCAGTCTGCCAATACATTAATCGGTTCTAGGGCTTAAATTCCTAACTATTTTAGTAAATATCAAGAAGTTTATACTATTCAATAATTTTAAAAGTTTAATATTCAATTTTTTAGTCATTTTAACAATTATTGAACATAATTGAAGGTAAAGTGACTAGTTTAAAGCGCAGCATCCAGCCTCTTAACACAGCAAACAGGCGTTAGTCTCTGTTTTCACTGGAGGTAACATCTTGCTTGAGACTCTCTTCAACTAAATGCTTTTTTCTGTGTTTCCAAGCAAATTATTGGTCATTTTGAAATATATTTTACATATTGACAATATATAATGCAGTACAGTGTTGATTTAAAGAAAATAATCTTGAAATACACCAAGAGAACTAAAATTTTATGGGTGAAATGGTGCCGTGGGGTGACTTCTCTTCCACCCCAATGCCTTCTCTTCTTCCTTCTCCTCCACCCCCATTGTAATTCCCATCATCATCATCATCATCATCCAGGAGCCTTCTACATACACACCTCAAAGTAAGTGAACTTTTTTACCATTTTTGTTGAATTTAGGAAATTTTTGGTGAGCTGGAACCAATTACCCAAAAACCCATTGAAACAATGGTTTCGGTTAACGAACTTTTCGGTTAACGAACGACCTTCTGGAAAGGATTGAGTTCGTTAACCGAGGGGTCACTGTAACAAGAAAGCCTGGATGACCCTAGTACTGTTTGAGGATTGGTTCATGACTTGTGTCATTCCTCGAGCCAAGGAGTATTGTCTGCAACAAGGGATTGCATTCAAGATTTTGTTAATTTTGGATAATGCTCTGGGACACCTACCACACCTGGAAGACCTACACCCTGATGTTAAGGTAGTCTACATTCCACCTAACACTACCTCTGTCATCCAACCTATGGATCAAGGTGCTATTGCAGCTTTTAAATCTAATCATTTACGTACGACCTTCGCTCAGGCTGTTGCTGCTACTGAAGGTGAGAAAACGCTCAGAGAGTTTTTGAAGGACTACAACATTTTGAAATGTATAAAGAACATTAGTGCAGCATGGGATGAGGTTACAGAACAGTGCATGAATGGAATACAGAAGAAAGTCATGAAAAGATATGTGAACAGTTTCAGAGGATTTAATGAAGATGAAGTAATTTCTGAGATTAGTAACAAGATACAGTAATGGAGTTGGGTAAACAGCTTGAGTTAGAAATTAATAATGAAGATGTTGAACAGTTTGTTGAAAGTGTAGCAGAAGAGCTAAGTAACGAGGATCTTATTGAACTGGAAGCACAGAAAAATGTAGAGGAAGAAGATAGTCTAAATGTAGAAGAAGAACCTGCACCCCCCAAAAAATTTTCAGTGAAGCAAATATGGGGATGCAAATGTTTGACGGAATGGATCCAAATGTTGAGCGTTTTGCCAAAGTTGACAGAATGGTCCAAGATGCACTTGCTTGCTACAGGAAGATTTATAATGAAAAGAAAAAGCAAACTGTGCAGTCTAAACTGGACATCTATTTTAAGAAGTTCCCCATTGCTGTCTCCTCACGCCCCACCAGTGCTGCCTCTTCACTCCCTAAAGATGATCCAATACCTTCAACCAGCAAGTTTCCCTTGTACATAAACCTGTCTGAAGAAAGCGACATTGATAACCCACCCAGCCCTGTCTCTTCCTCTGCTTCATCCAATTAATATAGTCTCCATGTATACCTGTAAATAGAAAATTATGGGGGCCCCGTGTGCATTCAGCTGATTACATTAAAGAGGTAAGTGCACAGTAACACAGTATCCATTCTTCATTAATACGGTAATTACTTTTTCTGTACTGTATTTCATTTTAGATTTTACATGTATTATTTTTTTGCATTTCTGAGTTACGACCAATCCGACTTACGACCTGGATTTGGGTCTCTAACCCCGTCGTAAGTCGGGGAGTATGTATATGTATATAAATATAAATATATAAATATATATATATATATATATATATATATATATATATATATATATATATATATATATATTATATATATATATATATATATATATATATATATATATATATATATATATATATATATATATATATATATATATATATATATATATATATATATATATATATATATATATATATATATATATATATATATATATATATATATATATGCTGATAACCACAAGGAAAGAAGAAAACACGAAGTTCCCAAGCGCTTTTGTGTAATTCACATCTTCAGGGGTGAGTACAGACTAAAGAGAAATACAAACCAAGGTGTATGTATACAGAGGAGGGTGAGACCAGGTCCACAATGGTCAGGTATTAGGTAATGACCCTACTAATCTTTAAATAGCACACAACGGTTGGTGGTCAGGTCAGATGGTCAGGTGACCTGATCATTGTGGACCTGGTCTCACCCTCCTCTGTATATATACACCTTGGTTTGTATTTCTCTTTAGTCTGTACTCACCCCTGAAGATGTGAATTACACAAAGCGCTTGGGAACTTCGTGTTTTCTTCTTTCCTTGTGGTTATCAGCATATACATATATATATATATATATATATATATATATATATATATATATATATATATATATATATATATATATATATATATATATATATATATATATATATATATATATATATATATATATATATATATATATATATATATATATATATATATATATATATCTTGATAAAATCACACGGGAAAAGGGAAACAACGGAGCACCTTAGCTTTCGTCTTTATTCAAGACATCTTCAGAGGCAACTGGATTACATGGACAGAGAGAGGCTTAAATATACAGGGTGACCTTATAAAACATGAGGTCAGGTCATAATGATGTCATCCACTAATCCCCACACCAACACACACGTAGAGGAGCTTAAGAGAAGGGGGGTGACGTGACTAGTCAGGTCAGGTCAAAAATAAGGGACCCACTAAATAACTATCATACATCTAGATCAAAGGTTTTCAAAGCATTTTTAACCTTGGGCCACTGACAAATAAATTTATGTGACATATTATCAGTTTTGAACTGACCATCACTAAGGTTTATTGAATTTAATTCCTTAATCAAACTAGCTTCAACCAGAAGTCTTTCTGTGACACAAGATGATTTAAATACAGTACTTCTAAGTTTTTTTTCCCAAGCAGTGGGATGATTATTATTCCTAACATGAACGAACAGGGCACTGCTTTCAGATGCTGTTCTGATATTGTACTTATGTTGTTTGATTCTGAGCTGCAGTGTTTTTCCTGTCTGTCCTACATATAATATTGAACCAATAAATGAACCTGGAGAATGCAGCAATACCAGGACCTCCCCGCCACCCCAAACCTGTTTACATACGCAATGTCTTAGCTATAGTAAATAGTAGCTCGTTAGGGCTACAGCATATCTGTACAGGATTCAGTGAGCAGTGTTGTTCTTTTAATCTTTACAAGCATTTTTTAATTTACCTATTTCTTAACCCATGAAGTGTGGTGTGTCTCAATAAGAGACACTTACCATGCTGCTCAAAGACGAGGGTCGATATTGGTGACTCTTTTATTTTCAAATGGCCTGCCTGCATATGTAACACTCGGAGGCTGGAATTTTGTTACATCACAGCCTAACCAGTGGTTCTCAACCAGGGGGGAATTCCCCCCAGGGGGGGAATTCAGGTTTTCAGGGGGGGGGGGAAACTGATTCGGGAGCAAGAGATATGTTCGATGAGAAATCAATCACAGAATTTTGGCCCTTGATGTGCGATTCCTACCCAAAAGTGGCAGAAAGAGCTATCCGTGCATTGCTTCCGTTTGTGTTGACATATCTTTGTGAGTCAGGCTTTTCAACTCTGTTGCAAATTAAAACGAAGCAACGTAGTAGATTAGAGGTAGAAAATGACCTGCATTGTGCCCTTTCTAGCACTCCTCCGCGTATCCCAGAATTGGCGAAGAAAAAACAATCACAGGTTTCTCATTGACTGTAATCTTCATCTGAATAAAATTAATTACAAATTTACAATATCCTGGTATTCTATTGAACTTTTTGTTTATTGCATTATGCTTCAGTTTGGTCTGTTAAGTAACTCATTATAAATATAAAAAAAACTGTTTTACTTTTATTCAAGTTTTATAAATCCATCAACATTTTCAATTGGCATTTAATTTGTAAAACTCCACTATAAAAATAATCCATGTAAAATTGTAAATGTATATGTACTAATATGGAAAAAATAAAGGATTTTCAGTATTATATTCATATTATTTGGAATGCACTTTTTGAGGCAGACAATCTTGGAAAGGAGGGGGGAATGACATTCTGACATATGGTGAAAGGAGTGCATGGGGCAAACAAGGTTGAGAACCACTGACCTAAACCATCCAATAAATGAGAAAATAGGACAAAAGATGCCGGGCTGCATAATTCAAATCACGCATTCATGGGTGGAAATGAGGGATATGTCTATTTTAGCCATTTCGTGACTTGAATTGTGTGCTGCGAATAACTGTTGTTAAGTTATAATACAATTATGAGCATTTAGTGTGTGCCATTTCAAGAATTTATTGAGCATTTCCTGTACCTTGAAAAAAAATTAATCAAAGATATCCATGGTGACTATTAAATTACCGTTGTTACTTATAAAATTACCTGTATTTTGACTTAAGTGCATTGAGAAAAAGCTGTACTAAACTTCTTTACTTGTATTGTCAGCCAGCAGTGCTTTAACCCATCCCTGCCGGACAAACCTAAATTACATAACTAATATTCAAGGTCATTCTCGAAATCTACCGGGTATTTAGCACATTCTCAATTGTATTAATATTTTCATGGATTTAACTGCTTCAAGGTTTCTGCATCAATAACCGTAGCAAACAATTACAGTACCTTCCCCTCAGTGGACGGCTCTTGAATGTATATGTTACTCATTTGAAATTGATCCTCGTGGTGGTTTCCAAGATATTATTTCCCTCTTCTCTTCTACAAGCACTATTTATATGCCTTTCGGGTTATATTACAGGTTTCCCGGTGAACCATCTGACTTCATACTCCAGAGTTGTTGTGTTTACATCAAAGAGCATTATAATTAATGTTAAATATATACCACGGTCAAAAGAGATGCTGCAAATCTATTTATTTTTTCAGGAATTACGAACCAAACAAATCGAAATTGACATAACCAAAATTACCCTCGTATTTTCAGGGTTTGATAATTTTTTTTTGTAAGTTATTAGTGGTAGTTTAACCGTAGTAATTATCTAACATTAGCGAACTTTAGTTACAAACAGAGAAGAGTTCCTTGTTAGTCATGGCGTTCAGCACTATTTTTTTGGCACTATTTCACCATTACTTACTTCAGGGCAGATCCAGGAATATCAAAAGGTGGGGTCCAAGATGTTGTGTATGGGGGAACACGGTGATCGCAGCGAGCTCACCCAGCTGGGGGTTTGGGGTGGCGTTGTAAGCCCCCCTAGATTTTTTTTTAATCTGACCAATATCATACTTTTTACTTTTATCCTCTTCACCACTGATCGGCTCTTTAGCAGCTTGGGCATTTTGAAGCCATGCGCACTTGATATTAGGAGATATTCTGAAGTCAATAGTAAATACTTTTTACTATACAAAAATGCCTGAATACAATACAGCATAAAAGAAAAAGTAAGGGAATTTTCTGGTGAAAAGGGGGGGTCCGGGCCCCTAGGACCCCCTGGATCCGCCCTTGTACTTATCCTCTTTGCCACTGGTCGGTTCTCTAGTCGGTCGACATTTCTCTGTTACACAGTGTTGGCAAGTACGGACATGTATAGCTTCTTGAAAGTACAGTACGTACCTGAACATGTACCAGTGTTGGACAAGAATAATCTTAAATGAGCTCACAAAACTCGGTGCGGTAAGAAATTCTCTGGCAGATTATTCGAAGTTCACAACTCTTATTCCAAATAAATTAACACTGCAGTTATATCTTCGTTAACCGTAGGCTGTGACCTCTAGTTGGCGGTCATCCGAATATTTACAGCTACCGATAAAAAATCTAGAAGTGTAGACATTCTTATTTTTTTTATGATTTCCTTATAATTCTCTGATAAGCTCTTCCCATTTATGCTGGAATTTATCTGTGACATTCTATTGATGTTTAAGAACAAATAGGGTTATAGAGGTTAGCGATTTTAGACAATAAAATTGTCAACTCTGCAGGGCCGGATTCAGGAGTGGGCAAAGTGGGCAGCTGCCCAGGGACCTCCACAATCTGGGGGCCTCCACATATCAGGGCTGGTCGACTTAAAACCACATGAATGACTCCAGTCATGTCTCACTTTTGTGTGTTTGTGTGTGTGTGTTGGGAATTTGTACACTATCAATAACTATACAGTTAATTAAACATTTCTCAATGTTCTACTTTCCTCGATATAACTGCATATGGCTTCAAAATTAACCAAAGAAGTGTTCAAATTTCAAAATTTTCCCGGGGGGCTTACAGCGCCCCCCCTAACTCCCAGATGTTTAGGCTCGCTTCACGCGCCACCCCACCCTCTTGGGTAGTTATAATGAGGGGGGCCTCCACAAAGACGCTGCCCCTGGGCTTCCACAGGTCTAAATCCGGCACTGCAACTCTGTTGTGAGGCGAAGCGCCGGGATGAACAAAAGGTCCCCAGTGAATAGAAAGTGGCTTATGTGAGTCCTATCTTCAAGAAAGGCGATCGTCACTCCACGAACAACTATAGACCGGTGAGCCTGACCAGCATAATATATAAAGTACTTGAGAGTATTACCAGAGATGCCGCGATGGAATATCTACTACGAAACAACCTTGTAAAGGATTGCCAACACGGTTTTATGCCAGGGCGCTCCTGCTTAACACAATTGCTCAAGGTATTGGATATTTGGACCCATCTTCTGGAACGGGGTGGTAATATCGACAATATTTACCTAGATTTTGCCAAGGCTTTCGACAGTGTACCACACGAAAGGCTGAAAATCAAACTGGAAGGGTACGGATTTCTGGGAGTGTCCTAGTGTGGATAGAAGACTTTCTACATGACCTCAAGCAGCGTGTGGTGATTAATGGCACGAAATCATCATCTGTACCTGTCACAAGCGGGGTACCACAGGGCAGTTTATTGGGCCCGCTGTTGTTTGTTTGTTTCATAAATGACATGCCTGGCGTTGTACACTCCATACAAATGTTTGCCGATGACGCCAAGTTATTTCGGGAAATCAACAACCAAGCGGACTGTGAAGAGCTGCAGAAGGACCTCTGTGGGTTCCAAGATTGTTCGAAGAAATGACTGCTGAGATTCAATGTCACGAAGTGTAAGAGGATGCACCTGGGGCGTATCAATGGTAAGGAGGCGTATCATATGTCCCAACGGGATGAAGAAACTGCACTATTTGAGACTGAATGTGAGAAGGACCTAGGTGTGTATGTTGACAATGAGCTGAAGTTCTCGGGCCATTGTGAGAAGAAGGTAAATCGGGCAAATAAATTATTAGTTTTTATAAGAAGGTCGTTCAGATATCTAGGCGGTCCGTCCCTCGTAACGATCTTCAGGAGTGAAGTACTTCCCATCTGGAGTACTGTCACTCCGTTTGGTCCCCGAGATATGCTAAGGACTGTCAGTTGGTTGAAAATGTTCAAAGGAGGGCCACCAGACTGGTGCCTGCCCTTCGGCACCTCAGCTACCCTGAGAGATTGGAGCGCCTGATCTTGCCTAGCTTATACTACAGACGGGCAAGGGGTGACCTAATTGAGTTGTATAAGCATCTCAAGGGGCACTACTCAGTCGAGTGTCCTTACTTGGAGCTGGCGGATTCTCGCCCCACAAGGGGTCACAGCTCAAGATTGAAGGAGTCGCAAGTCCAGAAAACTGTGAGGGCAAACTTTTTCGGAGTGAGAGTTGTGAACTCTTGGAACACTCTATCAGAAAGTGTTATGACGGCACCGAGTGTGAGCTCTTTCAAGACAAGACTTGACCAACACTGGAGCGGGTTCAGGTACATCCAGGAGCCGGTGCATGCCCAGTACTTGCCAACAGTGCGTAACAGAGACGTGACCGATCGCCCAAGCGGCTAACGAGCCGATCAGTGGTGAAGAGGATAAAAGTTAAAAATAAACTGTCAAAGCTAAAGGTCCATAAGAGTTCCGGTCCTGACATGGTGCCTCCCAGAGTGCTAAGAGAGTTGTGCAACGAGCTTGCCGAGCCCCTGATGATCCTGTTCTGTAAATGCCTGGATGAACAAAGGGTCCCCAGTGATTGGAAAATGGCTTATGTGAGTCCTATCTTCAAGAAGGGCGAGTGTCACTCCACGAACAACTATAGACCGGCGAGCCTGACCAGCATAGTATGTAAAGTACTTGAGAGTATTATCAGAGATGCCGCGATGGAATATCTACTACGAAACAACCTTGTAAAGGATTGCCAACACGGTTTTATGCCAGGGCGCTCCTGCTTAACACAATTGCTCAAGGTATTGGATATTTGGACCCATATTCTGGAACGGGGTGGTAATATCGACAATATTTACCTAGATTTTGCCATGGCTTTCGACAGTGTACCCCATGAAAGGCTGAAAATCAAACTGGAAGGGTATGGATTTCGGGGAAATGTCCTAGCGTAGATAGAAGACTTTCTACATGACCGCAAGCAGTGTGTGGTGATTAATGGCACGAAATCATCATCTGTACCTGTCACAAGCGGGGCACCACAGGGCAGTGTATTGAGTCCGCTGTCGTTTGTTTGTTTCATAAATGACATGCCTGGCGTTGTATACTCCTCCATACAAATGTTTGCCGATGACGCCAAGTTATTTCGGGAAATCAAGAACCAAGCGGACTGTTAAGAGCTGTCGAAGAATCTCTGTGAGCTCCAAGAATGGTCGAATAAATGGCTGCTGAGATTCAATGTCACGAAGTGTAAGAGGATGCACCTGGGGCGTACCAACGGTAAGGGGATGTATCATATGTCTCAACGGGATGAAGAAACTGCACTATTTGAGACAGAATGTAAGAAGGACCTAGATGTGTATGTTGACAATGAGCTGAAGTTCTCGGGCCATTGTAAGAAGAAGGTAAATCGGGCAAATAAATTATTAGTTTTTATAAGAAGGTCGTTCAGATATCTAGGCGGTCCGTCCCTCGTAACGATCTTCAAGAGTGAAGTGCTTCCCATCTGGAGTACTGTCACCCCGTCTGGTCTCCGAGATATGCTAGGGACTGTCAGTTGGTTGAAAATGTTCAACGGAGGGCCACCAGACTGGTGCCTGCACTTCGGCACCTCAACTACCTTGTGAGATTGGAGCGCCTGAACTTGCCTAGCTTATACTACAGACGGGCAAGGGGCAACCTAATTGAAGTATATATACATCTCAAGGGGCACTACTCAGTCGAGTGTCCTCACCTGGAGCTGGCGGACGCTCGCCCCACAAGGGGTCACAGCTCAAGATTGAAGAAGCAGCAGGTCCAGAAAACTGTGAGGGCAAACTTTTTCGGGGTGAGAGTTGTGAGTGTTGTGACGGCACCGAGTGTGAGCTCTTTCAAGACCAGACTTGACCAATGCTGGAGCAGGTTTAGGTACATCCAGGAGCCGGTGCATGCCCAGTACTTGCCAACAGAGCGTAACAGAGACGTGACCGATCGCCCACATATACGTACAAATACAACATACAAATATGACAAGATAATACAAATAAGACAATTCAGTAGGCTTCAAAGTTAATTAAACCTGAAAATTATTGTGATTAAGGCTATTTGCCTGAAAATACAGACAAAAATGAAATACAGTATAAGGATATGTATGAACATAATATTAGGCTTCTAGGATGGGTGAAACTTTCTTTTTTTCTCGATTTTCTGGCAATCTTTTTACTGGCAGTAGTCTGTCACCATGTTCACATTCCACCTTCCTTGACACCTCTTTTCCATTTCTTTAATGTCCTGGTGAAATCTTTCACCTTGCTCTTCACTTAAACTACCTAAATTTTCAGGAAAATACTCAAGATGGGTATATAAGAAATGCAATTTTACACTCATATTGCAACCCATGTTTTTAAAGTTAGTCAACATTCCTTCAACAATGTTTTGATAGACTAGAGCTTTTCTATTGCCTAAAAAACTATACACAACATTCGTGAAACTATTCCATGCTTCTTTCTCACACTGGTTCATCAAATTGGTGGTCCAACATTAACTTTCGGTCTTGAGGGCCCACGAAAATGCCAGCTTTGATTTTTTCATATTTGACTGGTGGAAATTCCCTGCATATATACCTGAAACAATCACTTTCCTTATCTAGGGCTCTTACAAATTGTTTCATTAACCCTAATTTAATATGCAGAGGAGGCAACAGCACTTTCTTAGGGTCAATCAATGGTTCATGTAGAATATTTTTTGAACCAGGCACAAGAGCCTGTGTAGGTGGCCAGTGTTTTTGTCCCAATGCTCACGTCTTGCTCTGCTGGCCCACTCGCACAAAAAACATGGCATTTTCGTGTATCCACTCTGTTGACCAAGCAGCAAAGCATTTCCTTTGAAATCTCCACAAACCAACCAACCAACCATGATCTTTATCATGAACTTTCTCTAAAAGTATCTGCAAATTTTCGTAAGTTTCCTTAAGATGAACAAAGTGAGCCACAGGAATTGATGAAAATACATTTCCATTATGAAGTAAAACACCTTTGCGACTTGTTTTTTAAAAATCAATGAACAATCTCCATTCATTAGCTGTATAGGTAATGCCAAAATAGTTAATTAAGGCAGACACATTATTACAATAAACCAAGGAGCTTTCCTCCGAAAAAATTGATCTAGTTCTTGTTCACGTTGCCTATACCATGAAAATATGTCCCTTTGCTCAATAACTTCTTTGATTTCAACCTAGATCCTAAAAGTTCAGCAGACTCCTTTGGTAAATTCAAATCCCTAACCAGATCGATAAGTTCACTCTGGGTAAACACTTCCGGTACATCACTAATATCTTCAGGTTGATAAACATCACTTCCGTTACCTGACGATGAATCACGGTCAGATTCTGATGACACGGACTGCAACACATCTGGCGGAATAGGGAAAGGAACCTCAGGGCCATGTTGCACTGGTCTCATGGCAGATGGAATCTAGGGATAAATGATTCCTTATTTACTTTTTTTTCATTATATCCCTCTATCTTCACGGAGCAAAAATAACAGTCATCACCATGATTTTTAGGTTCCCGCCATACCATAGGGACTCCAAATTGCATAATTTTTTTCTTACCATATTTCCACAGTCTTAAACCTTCAACACAAGTGCGACATACTTTATGTGGCGCCCATGGTTTATCTAAATCACCTATTTTCACTCCAAAGTAGGCAAAATATGCGTTTTTTACGGATGCGATTATTTCTTGTCGTTGCTTATACGCAACAAAGAACCCACATATGAGCAGAATACGTTTGAATTGTTCAAAGGTCCACGAGAAGACATATTTTCAACAGAAATAGTACCTTAATAGAGCAAAACAAGGAGATTTAACATTACATCCACGAGGAAAGGAAACAACTTTGTTAGGTAATGCAATAAAAGATTTTTCTCATGACTTGTAATAGGAGCCCTATACACAATACCAATTAGTATATTTTTTCTTTTCATAATGATTTCGCACCATACCGCTTTATCATACAAATGAGCATTCAAGAAATTTACATTGTCTACAAGAGAAATAAGACAATTCCTCTTATTATGTGTTAAAGGAATATCCTTCCTTCCTTAGGCTTTAGTAAGCCCCTTTATAATATTTATACTGAATATACTTGTCACACTTGCCAGATACTTCTGGTGTTATTGTACAGGGGTACCTAGTGACAGCACTAGGATCCCGCTTCCTCTATCAAGGATTAAACAATTGAAATTGAAATTGAATTGAGAATTCCTCACTAATATAACCACACCTCTACCAGGTTCATTCTGCACACCATCGAATTTACTATTTAACTTTCACCCCCAAAAATGGCGGACTTTTATGTTTGCCAGTAAATTAAATTTTGAAACCTAAATTAATTAATTGTATTATCAGAGTTTACTAGCCTATTATATCACTTATGCACTGGACTGGTATTTATTTATTTCCCTTTTTATCTATATTTTATAGTATTTTTGGCTTCACTGCATTTTCGCTTCCAACAACTCAATTAATTAATTTAATTATTATACATCCAAACGCATGGAAGTCGAATACAGTATAATGCTACTATCAGTCGCCACTCACCAGTTCTGCTCACCACGGAATCTCAGAGCGTTCTGCCGGGAGTGCCGTAGGATATGTTGGGCAAACACTTCATATCTACCTGGACTTCACTTTTAACTGCTACACCGGACAAAAAAAAAAACCTAGGACAACTCCCCTTCTCGTTAAAGTGCAAAGTAGGACAAAAGTCCCGATTTTTTATATAAATGTTTCTCAAGGGAATATATCATTCATACTGTTAATGCTTTATTTTTACATCTTTATGAGCAGGTTACTAATATAATTTTTTTTACATAATAGTGCAGAATAAACAATACTGAATACACAAGATAAATATTGCACAATGCTACAACATATAATAATACTTATTAGTTATTACATTGGATATACTGTATAAGAATATGGTGACAGTTTTAAAAGCATCATTTGTCTCAGGTCATGTAAGGTCAGATTAAGGTCACATTACCAACGCACGTTTGATTTAGCCTTTCCTTAAGTTTACCCTCCCTGGCACTACCTGGGATGGAAATTATGACCTGTGACAATATGTTCTCGTTTCGTTACTGGTCATTGACATCCTGGTCAGTAATTTCGGCACCAACACAACTCATGTCACTTGTCAAATCCGGTAGAAAACTGCGTGGCCTTGGATCCGCCACTATTATGATATACAGTAATTATTTGATATGATCTAAATACAATTATAAAAGGTGAAACACAACACCCAAAAATATCCCCTCCAGTGTGGATGTGGATTAGAGTGTAGGTAAAAAAGGTCACAGGTTATTTAAGTTTTAATTTTTTAGCATGTCGAAAAATCATTACTTTCGGGTAGTTTAGTTTTTAATGACCAAAGAAAGCATTCAAAGCTTAACCAAACTCAGCCCAACCGAGGCTAACTTAACCTTACCTGCACAACCTAACCCAACCTTATCTAAACAACCTAACCTCACCTCACCTAGTTTAAACTAACCTTACCTAAAGAACCTAACCAAAACTAACCTAACCCATCCTAACCTTACCTAAACAACGTAATCCAACCTTGGGTCACTGAACCTGACCACTAAGTGAACTCTAGAATGTTGAGCTTTATTTGTTTGCTGACGATGGCTTGATACAGTATGATTATCCTGTATGGTCACTATGTGTTCCTGTATAAGACTTATAAACTTATAATGCTAAGTGTTGATATGTTTTATCCAGTATAATATCTATAATGCTTTCTTTATTAAAATCTTATGATATAAATGTAATAATTTATATTTCCGAGGGAGTTTTTGTACTTCACTCCTCCTCCCCACAAATCCTCCACCAGGACATAATCTGAGGTGAATCCAGAAATAAGTAAACTATTATATCGGAGCCATAACGCCCTTCACCGCCTCACACGTACTGCCTACTGTCTGGCCCAAGTTCTTGATAAATATAACTAATAGTGAAGTATCTTAACCCTGTGTCGTAAACCTTGACACAAGTCTTGCATATCTGGGAGATTTAACGTTAAAATTGTATGATAATATCCAAGCAATGAAAAACAGTCAACCAACAATATATTACTCTTTACAACTAATTCACAAGTAATTAAAGCCACTTTGTTTTATTATGGCGTTAAGAAGCAAGCAAAAGATATGATGCTATAACATTTGTCAATTAAATTTCCTTGCAACCTGATTTTGTAGGTGACCTGGATGCTCTCAGATACCAGATATTATATTATTCATAAATCTACAGCAAAACTATACTAGTCACATACTGTAACATACGTTGTGATTCTTGCCACTCAAGAAACGGTTTACAGTACAAGTTGTACAATATTTCACATACTGTGTATAAATACTGTGCATATTGTCATGTTTCAAATTACACATAGTGAAGGTTCAACAAATGGCGACGGCAGACTATGGATATGGTGGTGGTGGATGTATTAATGCCGTGTATTAATGTGGTATCAAAGAGACGTACTCTTTGCAGAAGACTGCAAAGGGAAGGGTCAGGAGGAGGTTACTGACAAAAATAGCTATCATGGCGCACGCCGCTTGGGCAACAACTTCATAAATGGAACTGTTGATTTGACTTCCCGCCAGTGGCCAGACGACGCTTGTTGTCACTTGTACCTGAAAGTGGTATAAATACTTTAGTTATACTCACCGAATAATTTGCAAAATAATTTTTTAATGACTAACCGAAAATTTACATAGGTTTCACAATATCAAATTACAAAATATACGATTTGTAATGACACTGAAGTTCAGTGTGTATGTGAAGTTTTCCTCCAAGAGCCTCTCCCTTGCTCTTACCTGCTCTCCTCCCCGCCTAGGCACAGCGCACGGCTCTTGTCAGGGGCGGATCCAAGAATATCAGAGGGGGTCCAAGAAGTCGTGGGTGAGGCAACATGACGAGCAGAACAGCCCACCCAGATGTTTTTTTTGGGGGATGGCGCTGTAAGCCTCCCAGAATTTTTTTGTGAAATATGACCAATTTCATGCCCATTTTGAGGCCATCTGCACTTGATATTAAGAGATATTCTGAAGTCAGTAGTAATGACTTTCTACTATACAAAAATGCCTGAGTACAATACTGCATTAAAGAAAAAGTATTGGAATTTTCTGGTGAAGAAGGGGGCCTTTGGGCAAGGCGGCCGTAACGACCCAGGCGTTGACGGCCACTAAAGCAATCAAAGAAGGAAAAGGCATCAATGACGTCGGCTCATCCCACCTACTGTAAGTCGGATCCACCACATCCCCGGCGCCTATAGAATACAACCTAGCCATACCGATACACAAGTCTAACTGCAACAGTACTTGCATTCAAAAGACAAACTGTGTCAAGGCGGTCAGCGATATCTCACCCAATCATAGACCACCACAAGGAATGCAGCCTATGGCCTCACCTAATTGGACCCAAGGTTTAGATAAAAGGTATATTCACGCGCGAGGTCTAAAAATGTAAGAGATCAACTTATGAAAGAAAACTAGTCTAGCCACGCCCATGAAACGTGAACAAGGCGGCGACCTGTCCTGGTCATATTTAAGGTCGCACATGTAATTCATTGCTTAGCAGGGGCGGATTCTGGGGGGAGGGGGGCTCCTCAGAAAATTTCAATATTTTTTTCTTTAATGCAGTATTGTGCTCAGGCATTTTTTATAGTAAAAAGTAATTACTGTTGACCCCCAAAATATATCCTAATATCAAGTGCACATGGCCACAGAATGGCCGCAAAATGCCCATAATGGGGGTCAGATTAAAAAAAAAAAGAATTAAGTGGAGCTTATAGCGCCTCCCAAAAACCTGGCTGGGTGGGCTCGCTATACTCGTCATTTTCCCCACCACAACTTCTCGGACCCCCCAACCCTCCTTTTGATATTCCTGGATCCTCCTTTTTTTTCATTGGGCCATTGCTCTGACCAGATCAAACTCCCGCCTAATATTTGTATTAATTTGCTTGTGAACTATTGTTTCAAATGTGATAGTGAAATATGTGTGACTAGTGTGCGGGTGTTTATTTATTTTTTTATTATTATTGCAGCAGACAGGAGCTGGGACGAAAGTGGATTCGCCTCTGCAGGAGACAAGATTAATTAAATAGTGATAATAACCGGATATGCAGTATACTCATTTTGAACCAAGTGCCTCTGATAGAAATCTCAAGTAGAGTATGATCTACAGTACTTGGCCTACCGACACCCACAGAGAAAACTTAAACGATACAGTGTCAACACTCAACACTCCAACATCACAGGGTAAGCTTCGGTTACATCAATAATTATTATCATCAGTTTCACGTTTTCATCTTAATCCTGTAGAATACAGAAATAATGGTGGAAATTTGTATTACATAGGCGAATGATGCATTACTCGTGAGATTGATAATGTTGAGCTGAGATTTGTTGTGGTAGAGTGATTATTTGGTATTACGAGGTGTTGTGTGGTATAGGATGATATATGATGGTGCTGGTATACGATAATATTGGTAACATTTGACTGTATACAATATTTTTAATTCCCTTACAGGAGTCTGATAACATAACACCAAAGACGTGTCATGGCGCCAGAGGAAAAAAATAACCTTGTTGGTGTTTTCATTATAAATGTTTAAAATTCTGAAGATAAGTAAATAGACTTATCTCCCTTATTACCAAGAATGGTGGTCAAAGTGAAACGATCTCACATGGACGTAGTTATGATATACTGTATAATATAGCATGTGTGATTACCTGATTAGCTAATGGTGATTTTCTCATTTTTTCTCTCTCTCTCTCTCTCTCTACCTCTAACGGTAAAAAGATAAAAAGATGGCCTCCGCTCCATTCTTAACCACACCTTAGTCCCTCCCACTTTTCTCTCTGTAATAACTGACATAAAACCCATAAATCAATCCATGTTAGTAGTATTATTCTAACATTTATAGTTCTAATTTATCCCGGGAATTTAGTTAGTCGAAGACAAACTCATAACATTGATGTCTTAATGCACAATGCAGAAATGTTTAATCCAACGTACACCGAGTAAGATTAGACAGCCAGCAATGATCAATGTATGATTCACCGGAAAACTAAATGATTTTCCATAAACTTACAGTAAGAATCATAAGACGTAACAGGCCAGAGTGAGAACAACGAGTAACAGGATGTGACATCATCTCCGTCTCAATTATTAACGTTATAATATTTGTCATTCCCTAATAATACAACAATACTTAGTGATTAAAATAAAATAAAATAAATTATTTAACAGCGCTCTGAGACAGTAAATGACACCATCACTGTCACAGTTTGGTGCTCAAACCTATAAGACAACGAAAAAATTAATTAATTTTACTAAACAACGTGACATAATGTAATGATTATTGTAAGCATAAAATTAATTAAAGTGTTACAAGGTGTAACAAGTATAGAACCTCACCACATTTGTCAGGACGATGCTGAAGAAGACGTCGACGACGATGACGGCGGCCCAAGTGAGAGTCTCGGAGGTGACCAGCTTAGCCTTGCCACGGCTCTGTCAACACAATTTTATAGTACAGTATTGCCAACATAATTATGTTCATTACATTAGCTAGAAGTCTGTAAATGAGAGGATCAACGTGGCTGGGTAACAGTGTTTTATGTACTGTACACAGCAGCGTCACACTTAAAAGCTAGTATTATAATTTGTATCCAAATATAAAATAATTATCTATGCTGCTGGCAATTAGAGACGGCGTAACTAAAGAATGTCAAAAATTACTTGTATTCACATTTCGGTAACTGGGAATTTATCCCACAATATACTGCATGTACTGTATAACTCCTTCACATACTGTATTTTTTCAACAGTCAACGTTTTTTCTGTGATGGACCCGGGCTAGTGTACACCCACTAAAAAATTATTCGGCACCCGTGTCATATTGTATCACGCCGTAAGGGTACTGAATAATTTTTTAGTGGGTGTACAGTACAGTCTAAATTAGTAGTAGTAACAGGAGGTAGATTATTGGAAGTAAAATACAATATGACACGGGTGCCGAATAATTTTTAGTGGATGTACGTACTGTACTGTATAAGTGTCATCTCACGATTGTCTCTTTTATGTGATTTTTGTCATCTCGTTGACGTTATCATGTTATTACGGATCTTCAACAACTACGGTGTTTATGAGCTTAACAAGGTTAGTAATTACACTGATCCATTAACAACTAAAAATTATGAAAGGTAGAACTCGACAATGTCATCTCGCTTAGACGATTAGGTTAGGTTTGGTCAAATTACATTAAGTTTTGTTCAGTTACATTTGGGTTACATCGCGTAAAACAGACAATCGTCTAGTACATATAACGGTGTGCTCTCTGAAGGGCAATGTAATTGGTAAGTAACCTTTGGCCATGCTAAGCTTCCTTGGCTTAGTATGAACAAAAGACGTGTAAACGCATAATTTACTTTTTAAGTGAGATAGTTGAGAATCTCCTATCATTAAAGTTTTATGGGATCTTATGAAGATTAGGAACTCCCGCTTATTTCATTTGATGATTAAATACCCAAATGCTAATCTAACCAAACCTAACTCAACCTACTTTAATGTAACCCAACCTTATCTAAGCTATCAGGTGACGTAAGCGGGAATTCCTTCTCTTTATGAGATCCATTTTGTATTGTAAAGGTGGATGGAAAGACGTGAGAGGACAGGGGGCAACGTGGACGAGAAGCGCTAAAAATTATGGTGACTAACTATTTACCTGATGCAGGCTAACATGGCGTTATAGAGAAGTTCCATGTCCAAGACAAAGAAAATTGGCAGACCAAGTCCCGCATATAAGGCCTTGATCACTCTACCAGGGTCACCCCAGAGCAAAGCGAGGACCATCTCAACACATAGTGGCATTATCACCAGGCACTTGCCCAGTGAGGTTATGAAGATGCTGGTCAGGATGATCTTCACTGATAGACTGATCTTGTTGCTCGTCATCACACACCACACTGCCACCAAATTACCTGTAAGTTACATTACCCGTTAATGTTGAATTCTGTTATGCAGCCAACTGACAGTTTCTATATCTCCCCTCCCACAGTTAACTGATAGTTTCTATACCTCCCCTCCCATAGCTGCTATACCTCCCCTCCCACAGTCAACTGATAGCTGCTATACCTCCCCTCCCACAGTCAACTGATAGCTGCTATACCTCCCCTCCCACAGTCAACTGATAGCTGCTATACCTCCCCTCCCACAGTCAACTGATAGCTGCTATACCTCCCCTCCCACAGTCAACTGATAGCTGTCAACTGATAGCCCTCCCACAGTCAACTGATAGCTATACCTCCCTCCCACAGTCAACTGATAGCTGCTATACTCCTCCCACAGTCAACTGATAGCTGCTATACCTCCTCCCACAGTCAACTGATAGCTGCTATACTCCCTCCCACAGTCAACTGATAGCTGCTATACCTCCTCCCACAGTCAACTGATAGCTGCTATACCTCCCTCCCACAGTCAACTGATACTATACCTCCTCCCACAGTCAACTGATAGCTGCTATACCTCCTCCACAGTCAACTGATAGCTGCTATACCTCCCCCACAGTGATATGCTATCCCTCCCACAGTCAACTGATAGTTTCTATACCTCCCCTCCCACAGTTAACTGATAGTTTCTATACCTCCCCTCCCACAGTCAACTGATAGTTTCTATACCTCCCCTCCCACAGTTAACTGATAGTTTCTATACCTCCCCTCCCACAGTCAACTGATAGTTTCTATACCTCCCCTCCCACAGTCAACTGATAGTTTCTATACCTCCCCTCCCACAGTTAACTGATAGTTTCTATACCTCCCCTCCCACAGTCAACTGATAGTTTCTATACCTCCCCTCCCACAGTCAACTGATAGTTTCTATACCTCCCCTCCCACAGTTAACTGATAGTTTCTATACCTCCCCTCCCACAGTCAACTGCCTCCCCTCCCACAGTCAACTGATAGTTTCTATCCCACAGTCTCCCCTCCCACAGTCAACTGATAGTGATAGTTTCTATACCTCCCCTCCCACAGTCAACTGATAGTTTCTATACCTCCCCTCCCACAGTTAACTGATAGTTTCTATACCTCCCCTCCCACAGTCAACTGATAGTTTCTATACCTCCCCTCCCACAGTCAACTGATAGTTTCTATACCTCCCCTCCCACAGTTAACTGATAGTTTCTATACCTCCCCTCCCACAGTTAACTGATAGTTTCTATACCTACCCCCCCAACAGTCAACTGATAGCTTCCCATATTGCTGTTGACTGACTCAGCATGCATACTCACACATGGTGCCAAGGGTGAAGATCATGCAGCAGTGGACGACGGCGTATATCAGTCGTCGGTGTAGGTTGAAGATGCCCCCACCTGTCTGTGCTGAACTATCCACAGCTTCCCTCTTCACTGCAGCGCATTACTGTGTTGCAGGTCTCACACTGCACCAAGATTCACTTTTTTTATTCTTTGCGAATAACACTGGTGTTATCAGTCACAAACAAGGAGAAATAGAAACACTTCGCTTTCTTCTGCTTCACTCGGTCTCGGAAATTGACCGCAACGTAGATCCAACTGAGATACACCTGTACTTTTCAAAATTCTGTGCTAGAAACACGCACACAACTCTTCACGTCTTTGAGACTAACAAGACACTGGCATATTATACTTGGGGCGGGCGCTGTGATAAAGCGACCGGAAAGGCTCGTCCCACTTGGACAGTAGTGCGCTGTCTGTGAGGCGCAGTGACAAAGTCGAGAGAGGAAGGCAAGGATCAACCAAAAATGGCTGCTCAAATGATACGTCAGCTTATTATTTTTTTTAACAATTATTATTAAAATCAAAGTAAGACAGTTGATGAAAAGTTAGATAGAAAATATTCATCCACTTGTTAATATGAACTGTAATTTCAGTGTCAAATATAATGAAGCAGTGAAGTTTACTCGCAAATAAGCTGTTAAATTTAAATAAGGAGGACATGTATTATGGGGTCACTGAAGAAGAAGATACTTTGAAATAGTAACTTGGGTAATTAATTATTTTATGATAAAACGCTTTTAATAAATGGCTTTATCAAATTTTTCCAAAGCACTAATTATTCTCTTGTAGCATTCCTACTCTAAAACCCGGTTCACACTAGTCCGTTTTGACGGCCGTCTCTGACGTAGTACAACCATCGATGAAGTCATGAAAACGGTGGACCGTTCAGGCCAAGGAGATTTAATAATATTCTGAAACTACCGCCCGGCCGGCATCACCATTTTTTGTCAACTCAAAAATCCCAGACACTCTGTGCTGCTGCTCCCAAATTTTGCTCCATTATGCCATCCTGCTCGACATATGAGTTTACCCAGAGGGACAGGAGAGATTCTATAACATTCTAACGGTAAGTGACGAAGTTATAATTCAGTTATATCAAGCAGAAGTGCCAGCTTAGTATAGGCACTACCTTCATGTCATTTCCAGTTTCCCCAAAGTCTGACTGGTGCCTGCGCTACGGCTCCTCAGTTACCCAAAGAGATTAGAAAGTCTACAATTGCCTAGCTTATATATAGGTGGGCAACGGGTGACTTATTGAAGCTTATTTAAATCTCAGAGGGCATTACTCAGTCGAGTGTCATACCTGAAACTAGCGGATGCCCGCCCCACTAGGGGGTTTGGGGGGGGGGGCACAGCTCAAGGTTGAAGAAGCCGCAAGATCGGAAAAATGTGAGATCAAACTTTTGCAGAGTGTGATTTGTAAATTCTTAGAACAATCTGTCAGAGAATGTTGTGACGGCACCGAGTGAGCTCTTTCAAGGCCAGACTTGACTAACACTGGCGCAGGTACAGATACATTCTGGAGCCTGTATATGCTCAGTACTTGCCAACAGTGAGTAACAGAGACGTGACCGACCGCCCAAGCGGCTAACGAACCGATCAGTGGCGAAGAGGATAAAAGTAAAAGCATGAAAAAAATAACACCTATCTTCTAAATATCTCTTATGCTTCACTCTACTATAAAAATATTGTTAAATCTTTAACGATTTAACAAAAAAATAGAATCATCAATGTTTAGGGTAACTATTAATAAATTAGATAATTTCAATATATATTCATTTCATATACACTGTATATTCCCAATTGTAAACCTGTACGACAATTATATTGAATTATTATTATTATTACAGCACAGATTGTGAACCCTTTTACGACCAGACTTGACCAACTGTACAGTATACTGGCGCAAGTTCAGATACATTATGGAGCCAACAGTGCGTAACAGAGACGTGACCGACTGCCCAAGCGGCTAACAAGTCGATCAGTGGCGAAGAGTGAATAGTAAACAGGTCACAAACGTCTTTACCCTTTAATAGTCAGGGCAAAATAAAAAGTCCTGAGGCGGATAACGGAATCCTTCCTGGCGACCCGTAAAAGTTACCAAACACTTCCTTTTTTATCAGTTTTCTTATTCAGGATAATGACTAACTAATCTGAACGACTTTACTAGCATCTACAATTAATATCACTTATTAAAAGTCTAATAAATATCATATTATTAAATAGAAAAGGTAGAAGCAATTGATGCATTTGTGTGCTCTCTGGGCTCTCGTCTAAAATTCCAGGCATGAGAGGAGGTAGAGGTGGAGACCGTGGAGTAACGGAGTTCAGTTTGAGTTCATCACTTGTTGACGGCGGTTATGTTGTACAGTAGATGTCCGTCTACGTCCATAACTTATTTTAGTAATATAAACATGGCATCAGAGGGACATGTGTTGTGTTTGGTGATGGCGTGCTTTTTCGGTATGAATGAAAACTAATGGATATGAACACGTATTTATTTTCTTGCAAGAATTGGATTAAATTGCTAATGAGTGAAAAGATTATCGGTTCCACATAATAATCTAAAGGTATACTGCTTATTATTATGTGACATCCTGAAGGCATACAGTCAAGCTTGCACGGTAAGCTTTAGGTGTCTACATTATATAATGAAGCGTCGAGTTAAAGGGGTTGTGTTGGCCATCATACTGTGCTTCCTTCTGCTTCACTTGGTAAGCTTCCACGGCTTATGGGAGGCGGAGGAGGTCAAAGCTCAAGACAGGCACTCTAGTGCAGGTAGATGCTCTGGTTCCCCTCATCACAGCGAGAAGTGTGAGCACTTCAACACATCCTCTGATATACCGATGAGCCAGAATGATCATAATGGTGACGATAAGTGGACACCGGCCATCAATGAAAATCCGCAGGAAATCTACCTGAAAACGATAAAATTTCATCCACCGAAGAACATTAAGTTTTCGGAGAAACTCAAAGATAAAACGGCACCGAATTATAATTTATCGAAAGATTTTCCTTCTGTGATGAGCACCTCACGGGAGGCCTTACTGCTAATGGAAGATTCCCAAAATGAGACTGTGTCGACCAAGGACCCATTTATTATACCAGGTCCTGCGGTAGTGAGCATGCCAGATATGCACGAGAACCTCTCCAATAACAGTAAATCAATGCGAGGCCAGTTCAAAATAACAGCACCACGGCTAAACCTCTCAAGCGACTTATCCTCACCCGAAGAATTCTCCAATAATGTTTTGCCTCCTCGCCCAACTATCAACAAAAAGAAGAAGAGGCAGGTGATGAAAGATTCGCCTTTGGTCTTGCTCAAGCGTGACAAACACTGGCCGGCGTTGCTGGCACCCTCTAACGCCGCCATCTTCAGCAACATCAGTTTTTCCAGATACACCCCAGAGGTCAGTGCACCGTTAAGCTCAGTGGTTATGTTATCAAGCAGATCCCTAGTCTGGATATTTGTTGACAAACATATATCTAACTGGTAAAATTCTATAAGGGCTCTTCCAGCTTGCTACAAAATTAACACGAATATTGCCGTAAAAGAAGTTCAGAATTGTTTAAGTGAAAATACGTTACCGTAGACAGCATTAGATGAAAAAGAAGTTTTATTAAAAATGGTTATATTTGTCACAACAGCAAGAGCTATTGTTGTTGAAGCCCCTAACACAGGCCATCACTGATATAATATTAGCAGGAACGAACCACTAAGTAGTGCCAAATTATTTCAAATTATTAGTTAAGTCCCAGTGTTTCTTTCCACTTAATCGTTTTTATTCATGGTTTGTGCTGCGCGGCTCCGGAGCACACCACTGTCTTCCGAGTTTATCGGTCAACGTATTTCAACTCCTAAAATAATTCTTAACCTATCGGCCTATGGTATCCCCTAAACTAGTGATTATGTTGTTAAGAAAACCCCTATTATATTTCCAATCCTAGCCATGAAAGGGTAAAGGAAATGGAAAAAAAAAATCACGAAAAGTCTTGTTTCGTTTCGTTCTCACAATTTTCAAGTACCTGGTCTTATTTTTCAACCAGGTTACAAGGAACTTGGTACATGTCATTTCCATCAGCCCCACTCAGTATTAGTAATAAACTTGTATTTTGTGCCTGATAATTTTTCAGGGGTCAGACAAGGCACATTTTTTTTCTTGCCATTATAGTCTAAACAAATCATGTGGGAGCAATACTGTATAAAAAAAAAATATTAATAACATCAAGTATGGTGCTTTTCCCAGGAGAACCAGGTTCGATCCCATCTTGTTGCAGGATCGCCAATTCCTGGAGGGTCGTGTAGGTGTGTACGAGGCTCGGGCGCGTCAGGTGGCTGAGGTGTGTGACCAACATGAAGCCCTCGACACGCCCATATCTGTCAAGACGATGGTTTGGGATCAGAAGCATCAGCCTAACATCATCTGGTGCGAGTTGTCGAAGGTCAGTCTTGATTATCTTGGTCATGATCGATATGATGTGTACTGTGTAAGGTAATATATGTAGTTTGGAGTGTTTGTGTGCATGCACAGATTGAAGTATGGTAAGATAATGACGGTTATAAAGTTCATTTGGTTTTATTTACGGAACACGTGAATAATAAACTTAGCCAAGACAACAAAACTATGTTCATATTACAAGGGAGAAGCTCGATGAAACTTAATAACAAGAAGTGGAATTGTGTCAAAGTCCTGGACTTCGCCTGTTATATTTCTCTCCTATAAACTTACTTGTCTATTTTTTATTCGATCCTGTCAAATAATCACCGCAATTACTGGATATATATTTTTACTGGATATATTTTCTGGTTTAAAACGAAAAATAGTTCTTACAATACAGTACTTGATCTACCGGTTTTGGCTGTTGAACTTTTTTTCATCAGCAACTATTTTGCTGGCCCCTGAGCTCTTTCTACTCCCTGTCTCAGGTGGCGTCAACGAGCTGGATGATCAACTTCCTACGTCTGGCCCACTACCGCGAGAACGACACCTCCCTCGCCCACCTTCCCCCCAAGGAGAGAGATGAACTCAGATTTAAGGTACAGTGCGTCGTCAGCTAGGTGTTTTCATGTTCACTATGAGTCTGTTAAGTTCTAGATAGTGTATATCGGAGTATATGTAGTTATGGTTAACCTGGGTCTGTGAAATACAAAAAACAGTTTTTCAAAGGTAAGGTAAACCTCGTGTTTAAGATAGAGACCCTTTGAAGGTACAGTGCGGCTTGCTAAGGAGTTACTACGAGATGTACAGTACTTCCTGCTAAGGAGTTACTACGAGATGTACAGTACTTCCTGCTAAGGAGTTACTACGAGATGTACAGTACTTCCTGCTAAGGAGTTACTACGAGATGGGTCTATAGGATTGAAATTAACTTAACTCAAGTTTAAAATAAGTTTACTAAAGATTGAAGAGCAGTAAACACAGCTTGTATAAGACAGAGGGTCTGTTGAAGATAAGCTCAGTTACGTTCAAAATGTGTCTGCTTTTTGAGAGCAAGTTAAACGACTATATTCAAGATATGTTTACTATTAGAAAATTAATTAATTACACGCAGTTAAGTTCATGATAAGTATCCTTTTAGAACATGGTTAAATGCATTTATGTTCAAAAGAAGCCATCTGCTTCTTTAAGATAAGTTAAGTGCAGTTTAATGTATCTACTTTGTCCATCATTACTTTCCCTCATCGTTCCCTCCCTTTCCTTTGTTTGCATTCCTTTTTATTTTCCTTCCTTGTTATTTCTCTTTATAACCTGCTTTTCCTCCGATTTCCTTGTGTTTGTTTACATTTGCTTTTCTCATCCTGTTTTCCATTCACATTATTTTTTTTGTCTCTCCACAGTTTATATTGTAGCGTAATGTATGTGGCCAGTTGTCTAATTTCTCTTTGTTAGGCTCACGTACATACGTAGGCTACATGTAGGAGATCTCGCACTAAGGATGGAGGTGAGAAAGGAAACTCAAAATGGCGTTTTATACATATACAGTATATATTATATGTACAGAACAGTCTGGTGCTGGGAAGTTGCTGCTTGGTAGAGGAGTTGCTGTGGAGGAGCTTCTTTAGAGGAGATCTTCTCTGCTTAAAGGCGTGGTGTTGTCTGACCTTTCAGTCAGTCAGTCAGAACACCGAGATAAGAGAGCCGTTGCTCTGAGGTGAACAAGGAGATTTAGGGCAAGGTATAGTTAAGAAGTGGAAAGTGCAGAAGAAGAATGGCAGCAGGTGGATTTTCCACCTTGCAGAGGCTTAACCAGTGACAGACATCCCTCAGTCCTTCAGGGGCAAGGGAGGTTAGATAAATTAAGCTAAGCTGGTTGAGGGATCCAAGGGAATGTGCTGTTTTAGGGTTTGTTGGAGGGTCCCTTCAGGTCCTTGTGTTGCTGAAGGGATGTTCCTCATCTTTTGTGATGGGGGGGGGGGAGGTCCCACCAGGTCCTTGTGTGAACTGACAGGATAGTCCCCATCTTTTCGGTTATATGAGTGGTGTTATTCTCTCGCGTATAATGGTTCCGGCTGATTGTGTTGATGTTGATGCTTCTTGGCCACCAGCTGTGTGATATATTGTTGTTTGCCTGTAATAGTTCCTGTCTGACCTTGACTTGACTTGACGTCTGTAGATAAGGTAGAGGGCTATTGCTTGTGATGCTGAGTGGGAGGGCAGGGATTAGGATTGGAAGTACTTTGGTGGCAATTTGGGGGAGAGGGGATTGGTTTAGGATCAAGGAAAAAGAGGGCGGAAATTTGAAGGAAAGTAAGAGGTTGACAGTATCCGGGCTCAACCAGATATGCTGAGGTTATAATAATTATATTTGAACTTACATCTTGCGTGATTAGGTTCTAGCTCTCAAGTCTTTTTCATTTAGTTAAAAATATGTTTATTTTTGCAGTAGCCATTGTTCCAAGGAAGGGGTGACGACCTCTAGCCAGGTTCTTGTGGAGCTGGCTGAGCAACGTGTCTTTTGTTTTAATAAGAGTGGAAGGAAGGGGCAAGAAGACAAGTGTTGGAGAGGCCAAGGATAGTGTCCTGTGGTCACTCATCTTTTTAATGAAACATTTTTCTGTTTTAGAGAATTGAAACGTTTTCTTTACGGCGAGGCATGGGGTATTTATATCATTCTGCAGGATTCTGCAAAGATGAGAGATGCTGCTGATTGGCTAAGATGAAGGCGGCAACTAATCAATCACCTTGCAGTTCGAACGAGGGCTGATTTGTGCAACTCGCCGCTGGTTGGCGAGTATATCACTCCATTCGATTTCCTTAATTTTATGTGTTTCTATTCCCATTTCTCTTTTCTGTTTCTATTCACTCTTCCCTTGTTTTCTTTGAGTCTTTCTAATAATATAAATTTTTTTCGTGTTTTTACTTTAACTCGTTGCAGGATTCACAGTTCGAGGACGTTAACGTCCACTCCATCGTCTACCGCCTTTTCCCCGCACCAAACAATACTCGGGACCGAGCCAGGGTTTTTCGCAGGGCGCTACGGGTTATTATCGTCAGGCACCCCTTCACCAGGTAGGTCAGGCCAAGTCAGGTCAGTAGGAAGGTTTGGTTAGTTCTCGTCTTTATATCAATGGTCAGGGTATAAGACAACTAAGTTTCGTATGATTTACTTAGTGTGTAACCTTCCACTCATAGATACCATTATACTTCTTAGAACACAGAACCCGTACCTACAGTATACTTTAGACTTAATCTCATGCTACTGTACCACCCTTCACATTCCGGTACTTGGAACACTTTTAGAACCATTACGTGTGTGTGTGTTTGTGTGTAATTGTTAGTCTTTTCACTTTTCAGGTTGTTGTCAGCTTACAAGGACAAGATGACGACCCTCACTCCCAAACCCAAAACGTTCAGATACAGGCAACTCCAGTTGAAAATTATCAAAAGGTAAGCAACTGAAGCCTCGAGTTTTATATCACATTCGGGTTTTTAATCATATATTCACCACTGATTGGAACAATGATCCTATCTTGTAATGTTGCTGTTGGGTGATGCTGGGTTGTATGAAGCTATGAGTAAACCCAATAGATAATGCGAATTTTCTTGTGAAAGGGAAATACAGTACCATATCAGAATGCTTCTTAACGGCAGTAAGAGCTGTATTATTGATTAAATGAGTAAAATGAATGAAGGGCTTCTGTGTGTGTGTGTGTGTGTGTGTGTGTGTGTGTGTGTGTGTGTGTAATAAAAAAAATAATAATAATAATAAACGGTTTATTGAAAAAGTTTGCAGCCTGAAGGCTGAAAATATACATTGGACATAAATGACTTATTACATACATTGGTGGTTTAACAAAAGCCTTCATTAGAGAAAGGTGAAGGAACGTACAGTGAACATACAGATTAATGTTTACACACGTAGATCATGTGAGCTGAGGTGTTGAACAGCAGACACGTAGTGTAGTAACTCCCTCACAGATGGCGTTATGAGGGGCATCACGTGGAGTACTAGTTCCCTCACAGGTGGTGTTATGAGGGGCTTGATGTGGTGTAGTAATTCCCTCACAGATGGTGTTACGAGGGGCCTGATGATGTAGTAATTCCCTCACAGATGGTGTGTGTGTGTGTGTGAATTCAAAGGGTGGGATACCTCTAAGCCTTACCGGGCAGTCTGTACTTTACCAGATGAAAACCTGCCGCCAGAAACCTCATCCGGGAACCTTTCCTGTAAACTGTGTGTCTGGCTCCCTGTCCTGCAATTCCGGTCCCTGCCGAGTCGAGCAACATAAGATTATTCTCAAAGTATGAACTGTAAATTTTATAATCTCTCTTGTTCACTCGTTGTATTGTGTCTTTAGAATGTAGCAGTAATATGGAATCCGTAGATGGGAACTTTGTTGTTTAAAACGTATTATGGGCTAAGAGTAACAACTTGAAAATTCTACCTATTTCAAACAGCTGAAAACGGAATTGGGTACTAGTTTACACTCAAAAACCTTAGCTGTAGCACTCTGTTTCTGACATTTCTTGGACAACAGTGTACTGTAATTATATATGAACGTATAAGTTCCAATACACAACAAATGGTGGGGGAGGAAGTAAACACCTACAGCTGACACTTTATAACTTTACAGTGACCGTAACTTGGGGGTCCTGCACTTCAGGCTCTTTCTACTAAGGTATTCAACAAAACTAAACTTTCAAGAGGGTATAAAATTATTTTATTCTCTTTCATTTATTTTTTTTTTAATTTGAACTTCTTGGTAGAGAGTTAACCCTGGGAGCTGTTCCGGAAAAAACGGTCTTAAGCTCGGGATGAGCAGAAATTATATACAATTAGTTAAAGCTTCATAAAGGGAAATGCTTCAGAATCAATCGGCAAATGTCGGACTATCTGCTCTTTGGGGCAAGGAACCATACCACCCCCTGTTCTCAATATGGAAACAACAGCAGCTTAGCTTAGTGAACACTGGCTGCATGTCATATTCCTGTACACCCACACCTGAACCTCCTGTGACAGTTCTTTCCATTCATACATTTCTCCGGCCATCCATTATTCCCCTGTCACTTTTTGGCTCAGATTATCACTTAACGTTCCTTGAGTGGATTTTATTTTTCTAACTCCCATATCAACATTAATTCTAGTATACATAAACGTAATGTGTATGAAAGGAAAGACGTATGTTAAAAAGCAGTAACTCATCACTCTTCTTCATATATAGTTTATATACCAAACACCATTCTAGTAATGTATACACAGAAAGTTCTATCTCATAATTTTTAATGTTGTTGGACTAGTGTATTACTAACCTTGATATGCGGTTGAAGAACTTTGTTGTTGAAGCGCAGTAATAACATTGTATCAACCAAAGTCTAATTAAACCAAGTAAACCCACTTCGAGTAGAAAATTCGTCCTTTGCCCAGCATGACGTCATACGGTCGGCGGCCCGGGGGAGGGACCTCAGTAAGCATGTGGTGTGAAGATCTGTGACAATGCCTGATAAATGAGCCGTATCTGTGTAATTACTAATTCTATTTTTTGCGCCAAATGATCTTAGCTGGTGAAGCTATTGTATTAATTTTTAAGTGAAAACCATGAGAGTTCTCTTAGGCAGCCCAGGTTAAACTTGCGGGGGGTTTTCTTGTCATCCAAAGCAAGATTGCAAGAAATTTTGTCTCTTTGGTATATCGATATGTTTAATAGAATCTACAGTGAACTAAAAGAAAAACGCAAGTCAGAAAACATCAACTCATTAGTCTTCTCTGTAATGCAGTAAATACCAAACACCTGAAAACAGTTCTCGATCTAATTGAACCTAGATTCTTTTATCCCTTTTACTTTATTTCTCTGTACTATCTATGTCTTCAATACAAGCACAACCAAACACCAATTTTCATCCCGTCCCGTCTACTTCCCAGTTATCTTCAACTCAAAATAAAACCCCAATCATTTTCAGTATCTTTTTCTTCCCATCTTAACTAAATACACCAAGAACAGTTCTCACGTACAGTGTAACAAGACGAAAATAAAGCTGTAATAATCCACTAATAACACTTTTGGATGATTGTGTTTGTAATTATTGGTCTAATACTATAGAATGGCATTTTCACGCACTCTTAACATTATATTAGGCTACATTTATTGGCAATACTACACAAAATCAACGTTGTTATACATATATTATTACGTCAGTCTTGTTAATGAAACAAAAACTCTTTCTGATCTACCCATTATCATATGATTACAATACAGTTCTGTTCTTCGTAAGGTGTAGCTAACATTTTTCATTTTAAACACGGATGTATTAATGCACGAGTACAGTACAGTATGTGGAAATTTCTTCTCACGCGGGCCTCTTATAAAAGTTATGACTTGTGAGAAGTTTTCAAGAAATAAATGTATGAACTCACTACTTCCAAGTGAGTGGAAGAAAGCGTATTTTCTTATGAACATAAATATAGTGATAATACGTTAAGTTGGCTGACAGGGATCCAACACTTCAACGTATAGAATAAAGGATCAAATGAAGATCAGGCACCCCGGGACCCTGGTTGTGCTGGGGTATCTAAACTTTAGGTGGGTTAAGCTAGAGTAACGAATCTTCAGGTGGTCATTTTAGGACCCCTAATCTCCATGAGATCCACCTAACTTATGTAAAGAATTCCTCTTACAAAGGAGAAGTAAACATCCTCTCCTCTTCCTTTGGTGTCTTCACTGTCATACTCTGTCTCACTATTCCACCTCCTATCCTTAATAAGTCTGAGGTCATTTACTTACATTGCCTCACCATTCGTGAGCTTATTTTACAGCCATTCTCACCTCCCCCGCCTTATTACACCACAGTATTACAATAATTATATTAAATTAATAAAATAGAAGTAATTATACTAGTAAATACTATAAGGTATGGATTTTACAATGACAAAGACTAGAGAAATAGTATGAACAGTAATATTGATAATAACGAATAAAATAAAAAACAGTTGACAGTGGTAAATATCAGAAGTTGTGGGATTTCCCCTGACATGATTAATAATAATAATAGTAGGGCAGTACTGATAAGAATGGAAATAACAAAGCTAGGGTTTCTCCTGACGCAGGTATCGCCCCAGCAGCAGCAACGATACGTCACTCTTCCCTACGTTCCATGAGTTTATTCAATACGTGATAGACTCCACCGCCCATCTCAAGACGCTTAAACAATGGAAGAAGGTAAGATATTCGCTGTTTTAACTTCTTGGTTCCTTATTTTATTCGAATTTAAAGCAAACTTCCTAAGTGAAATGATACAGTTGCATGTTCATGCCTCTGTTTAGGGAAATTTCTTATACTGAGCTAGAAGAAAACTTTTAAGGGAAAGATAAAGTTTTTGATGTTAATACGAGTATACGAAATTTTAGACAACTTATTTTTTTTTAATAAATTGAGTTCATGATATCAGTGTTTAGAAAAATTTCATATCATATACTTGATGCAAACTTTTTAGCGAAAATATCCAGTTTCCGATGACAGTGTTAGGGAAGTTTCTTGCACTGAGCGAGTGCAAACTTCTTAAGTGAACTGATAAATCTCTTGATGCTATTATTTAGGTGAGTTTCTTATACAGAACTTAAAACAAACTTTTAAATGAAGTGTTAAGGCTCTTAATGGGCTCTTACCATCTCTTCTCTTGATTTTTAATTCCCATGATTGTTTGGTATGTGTTGCATGAACAATTTTTATAGTCTGTGGTGCTCGTACTTTTCTGTATAATGATGATAATATTAACAATTATACGAATGAAAGTGCAAAAGAAGTTCTTCGTGCAAGTATTCTTGGATTTAATAAAAAAAATTAACGTACAATAAACTTTTTAGTGAAAAAATAAAGGTTCTTTACCCCTTGAGTACAGTATAATATTGCACGCATCATTGCATTCAAAGTGATAAGACAGTCATTTAAGGATGAAATAATTTTACTCAAAGGGTTACAACACTCAAGTTCAGATTATCTTTATCTGTACTCAGGGTTCGGCATTCTACAGAAGAGTTATGCTCTTGGGGCGAATTCTCAACCATTAACCAATAATGCAAGTACTGTTTACTCCTAACTTTAGGTTGCTATCTCTTTTGTCGTTGTTCAAGTGAACCATTTCAATACGTTCTATCATCATCATTTATATGGAGAACAATTAACATTGTGAATTTTTGTGGTTATACATGGTGGGGGTTTTCCGTGGCTGTAGGTAGGTGATGAAGTGTTCTTTGTTGGCAGATTGTGTGCTGGACTCCATACTGGGCTCAGTGTGCTGTGTGTGCCCACGACTTTCAGTTGATCATAAAACTCGAGACAATGGCTGACGATGAGCGGTTCTTGATAATCCTGGCCAACCTGCATGAACTGGAGGAGGTAAGAGAGAAGCTGGATCTTAGGGGGCTGGCTGAGAGGAGATAGCTGAAGATGGAGGAGGGAGGAGGGAGCTAAGTGACTGTGGAACTGAGTGGAGAAGAAGCTTGGCCAGGGAAATGCTAGATGAGGGAGCAGTTGAGGGAGGGAGGAACGTGAAGAAGGAACTTGGCGAGGGAGGGTTCGGTGACGGTGAGAATATTAGCACCAAGGGAGCATAGAGAGAGTTGTAATCTCTTGTCTGTTGTGTTTAGGTTTCTGATATCTGTACCAGTTTTTAAAGCACAAAACATTTGTTTATTCATTCCAGTTCAGCGTTTGATTGAAATGAATTTTTGCAAAAGAGAAAAAAAAATATGTGAAATGGAAACGGAAAACGACTGAGTATTCAAAAATACAATTACTTCTCAGGTACACGAAAGGCGGAACATTAAAGCCTCGACCAGCAACACAGACAACTTCTTCCGGCAGCTGAGCACCAGACAGATGCAGCAACTACACCAGCGGTACCTGCTCGACTTCCAGCTGTTTGGTTACACACTGGACAAATACCTTTCTTTGGCTAGAGACGCCACCGTCACCCCGGCCACCTGACAGTGAGAGGGTGAGGCTAGCTTTCATTTGGAGCCCGTTGCCGGACAAATGGAGTGATTTTCTTGGTGACAGGGCTTAGTTAATGCATAAGTACACTCGGAAACCATATTCTCTAGCCCACCTGGGTCGGTGCTGGAGGTTAGTACAGTGTCCTTTCTGGACGGGGGCCCACTCTAACTACTACGAGGCAACACACGCACGAACACACACAGTCATAGTACGGCTGTATAGATGACATTATGTATAAATATTGTATATGGCATTTTATACTCTGCATTATCTTCATTATATATGAACACGAAGAAAAATTACCATAGGTTGTAGTTACGAAAGTATGAATGGAAATAAACACTTCCAAACCACCCAGTGAGTCCACACAACATTTACAGCGCTTGTGTATGTGTGCCAGACCACGATGCTTCCACCACACCCCATCATTCGCGTAACTATATGAAAAATCGTGTTTAATTTAACTACATAGTACAAAAACCTTAAATTACATGTGGAATAGTCACTCCTCATTTGACACACTTATAGTGTAATACTTTGACCATCCCACCTGGGCACATGGAGGCCCACGGTAACTCTCCGGGGCAACATACAAACGAACACACAAGTTATGATATGAACTCTTCCAGGCTTCACTATCATTATCATGTTATGTTCATCGTGCTCTGTATCTTGGTAACTAGTCATAGTATCAATACATGACAGTGTTATTAGTATAATATTGTAACTTTTACCCTACAGTTATTGTTGTAAATCATGGACAGGAAGGATACATAAATTGTAATATCAAGTGTATGGTTCCCTCAAAGCCACCCCAAGTCAGACAACGCGTCACACAAAGTTGCACTGTGTGTGTGTGTGTGTGTTTTCTGTAACTTAAGCTTCATCCTTAGTAGGTAAGATGTTTCATAAGAGGTTTCTCCCATTCGTCATTATAAGCATCGTCCCAGAGCACATTGTTTCCATCAAAACCATGGTTCATCCTTATTTTCCTTCCGTGTAACTATATCCATATGGCTAAGTGCTTGTTTTTCATTTCTTTATTTACCAAAATAATGTGGATCAGTTACTCGTTATTTAACACATACATGCACTTAAAGCATCAAGATTATTTTGTAGGCATGAACTATTGGTTAATTGAAACCCCAAAAATGTGGTTTTACGTCACTTCACGTAAATATGCTTACAAAATCTATGCATTAATATGCATAACTCTTGGGAATCTGTCCAGGCATTAAATATATGTTATATACTACAATAATCACTTAGTGCGTAATTTAAGAGAAAATCAGTCGAAAACCTGCTATACCTTTTTCCACGGTGAGAAGAACCTTACGTGAGTAGATACATATTAACGAGGCTTTTAAATCAACAAAAATATTGTCTCATCTTATTCTGTTGTCTTCACACAAAGTGTCGTGAATAGTTTCCAGGCAGTTTAATTTATCTATTATATCCCAGGGTAGGCGTTAATTGAGCTCGGATTTTATATGGTGAATTTTATTGACTTTAAGGTAGCATACAGTTTACAGAAACCAACATTCTTCGTTCAGGAAAATTTACTGTAATTATTACGCAACACTGTGCAGTGGTTATGCCTAAACTAAACAATGCTGTATATAAATCATATAATACGAAATATATTTTTCTCAGGTGCTTCTTCAACACTGTACATAGCGTATTACTGGCCAGTGACGGGCATAGTGGAGGAAATAAAAGCGATTAGAACGCAGCACCGGCCACATTCTCTTGTATAAATTGAAAAAAAGGCTTTATCTTCCTCCACTTCCAGTAACGCACTGTCAGTCTCATTGGGTCCCGCTTTCACTGTACCATTGATACAATATCTCTAAATTGTCTGGATAAATACACAGTTTCACTTGCAATAAAAAGTGTTTATTATATTTTATTTTGTTATCCTTTTATATAGGAATACAGTAAGGGATATTTTTTTTTTTTTGTATCAAGGATTCTTCAGTAGCCACCAACCTTGGTAATGTCCAATGTTCGTTATTTCTCCAAACTTCCTTGTGCTATCATACCCGCTTTGTAATTTTTAGTGTTTCCTCGACATTATACCAAAGGAGTTGTATCCTAAAGTGTGTTGGTGTATATGACCCCGAGTGATTTTAGAAAACAGTGTTAAAGATGCGGGAGCGCCGGTGGGACACACTTCCCTGCCTCCCCTGGTCCCTGTTCACCTTGCAGCAAAGTAGGTACCTGCTGTAAATCGAAAGTTGCGAATTCGTATTCAGGGACAAGTTGTTGGAGCTTCCAATAACTTGTTTAGACATAAACCATTGACTCTTCAGGCTTCTATGCCCTTGACTCTTCAGGCTTCTACGCCCTCGACTCTTCAGGCTTCTACGCCCTGAACTCATGAGACAAAGGCAAGCATGAACTTAGCATGCTTCCCTGTTGGGCGCTGTAAACGCTTCTGCGCTTCACCTTACACAAGGATGGAGAGGGGTGCCCAATAAAAAAAAAAAGTTAAAACTGCGTCGCTGCTAAAATCACTCGGGGTCATATACACCAACACATTTTAGTATACAACTCCTTTTGTATAATGTCGAGGAATCACTAAACATTACAAAGCGAGTATGATTATATATATATATATATATATATATATATATATATATATATATATATATATATCAGAAATACACCGTACACATAAATTATGACCCAACGGTGTACTGTGTAAGCTACTTTCGAAAATAACTAAGCACAGATGTTTGTCCTATATAGTATTTATACATTGCGGAATTATTCATCTACATACGTTAACCCTCCGACGTGTGTAATTAGAACTTATGTTTTTTTCAAAAGTAATTAGTTCAACAGTAGGGATAATACTGAGTAAAGCTTTTATATCTACTTAGGGCATATAGATGTCGAAAAGGACATGACCGCTAAATGTTTCTCAATTATTAACATTAAGATATATTTCAAAGTTTATTTCTGTGATACTTGGTAAACATGTACGTATGAAATTAATAAAATCTGATTATTATGAATGTATTTCTGAAACTGTATAATAAACGAAAGGAAAGACGTTGATTAAACAGAGGAACAAGTAATTTAGTGCCATTGGTAATTTCAATATGAGGATCATCAGAGTGTAAGCGACGCGCGCCAAGCGGCTGCGGCGGAAGACTGTGCAACACTACAACTAATTGTTAGTCACTTGCCAGTTCTCCAAGAGGAAGGGTGTGTGGTGAATCATTCATCTATTGGAAGGTTTTGTATAATATTGTACTTAGTGTGTGATTTTACCCTTTAAGACTATTTCCACAAAAAATTCAAAACGGAAGAGGAATATATAAAGCGTCAGAATAATCTCCACGGCAAGAAGTAATATACATTCTATTCAGGTGAGTAAATGACCGTCCTTTAACTTATTTTGACGTGATATTAATTTCAAAGTTTGTTCTTATTATAAAAGGAAGGTAGACATGCGGATAAAATTATTTTCTGATAAGGGTGACGAGAAAAGCTAAGATCAATATCGAGGTAATTTTCTTAAATTCTGAATATTCCAAAACGCTTATTTGGCAAAAATAGAATAGACCTACGAGAACAACGAACCGACCAAACCTGATTAACGATTTGGGTTCGTTTTACCCTTGGCAAGATAATGCATAATAACGTAGCCTTCATGAACGACTGCAATACTGATCTTAATTTCTGGTGTCAAGATGGGACACCACATTATCCATATTTTTTGACAGGACATCCCATATATATATATATATATATATATATATATATATATATATATATATATATATATATATATATATATATATATATATATATATATATATATATATATATATATATATATATATATATCTTGATAAAATCACACGGGAAAAGGAAACAAGATTTATCTTATCCACGTTTTCATTGTGGATCTACATGAAAAATATATATATATATATATATATATATATATATATATATATATATATATATATATATATATATATATATATATATATATATATATATATATATATATATATATATATATATATATATATATATATATATATATATATGTTTTTTCGAGGATTAGCCCACCCAGGCACAGGTCACACCCACATCGCGGCCTGGGGTGCGAAAATGTAATAATAATAATAATTCATAATAAATAAAATTTGAAATAAAAAATAGAAAATGAAAATAAAATAATAATAATAATAATAACACTGTAATAATAATAATAATAATAATAATAATAATAAAGAACCATAAATAAATAAAAAGATTAAAATAAGATCAAAAGTGAGAAATAATATATGTATGTTGTGTTGTCACTAGTAAGCTAAATAATTGAGACCCTGCAATTATGTGTAAATGAGGCAGAAAGTCAGATCAGCAGCCTGGGACTTGGTCACAATTTTCGTGATGCCATATGGCAGCAGGGTCTACCATTAGACAATACATTATGCTTCCAATATCTTCCCAGGCGGTAGTACCTCCCTGTTTGGTAGCTGTCTACTACCTACTACTTGTTTTATGTATATACATACAGTGGCGGCTCGTGCATAGGGCTGCAGAGCTGCAGTCCCCTCAGACACTCACTGCCAGGCGTATGATTCCTTTAGAGAGACAGCTGAATAATACACTACCAACAAATATATCATTTTATATGTTATTTAATTATTTTCAATACGTTGCTAAGTGAATTTTCATTAAAATCAGACCAAAATTTAAGTTACTTTCATAGTTGCTGTCAATGCTGTACGATTCATGTCTATTATTAATTGACGCCGCCGCCGCCGCACAATGAGCTGCACTTGAAGCAGCTCAGTCTCGTACAACGTGTTTACATTGCGTGTGGACGGTGTGGTTAAATCGTGCTTTCTTTAATTACCCTTTGACGATGGAAAATCGAGTGAAGTATTTGCAAAACATCAACTTTTCCCAGCTGACATTAAATGAAAAGACTGAAATCAAAGCAAGAGGAAGACCTACACCAGTTTTATCCATTCAACAGAACAGTACAAGCAGGAACAAAGAATATACACGCCAGTTTAACATCATCAGTGTTTATCAGAATTGTGAATGGCTCTGTGGTTGTGACGAGGCAAATACTTTATTCTGCTTTCCATGCTTATTGTTTGGTGGGGACTCGGCATGGACGA